TATTTTGTTCATCATTCTTTACTTCGTTGGGTTGTGATTTTTCAAATTATTTTGTTCCTCATTGTTTTTCATCGTGGGGTTGTTATTTTTTTAATTATCCTGTTCTTGGTTGTATATTTGTATTTGTCCCTATATTTATATTTGTCCCTATGTTTGTTCACATAATTAATTCTAATTTGTGTCTATAACTACTAATTTTTATTTTAGTTTTTATTCAGATCAATTTTTAGATAGAGGACGACGGATGCAAGATTCATGCGTATTACCGTTAAATTTAAGGCGCGGCGCGAATGGTAAAATTAACGTCGAATATTTCTTTTTTTCCTTTCCTATGTTTCTCAATTCCCATTTTAATCTCATTAATTCCACCTACGACGTTAATTTTCTGTTTATATTGTATATTAGTTTATTTAATGCGTAGATTGCCAAGTAATTAATTAATTAACAGCTTCTTTTCCAGTCTCGTTCCCCCGTTTCCAGCTCCGGTCACCGCTGCTTTAATGTAGAAAGCAAGTGATCGGCCGTTTAGATGGTTCGAAGGGTCGGTTGCCGTCCTCTGGTGAGACAATTCTAGGGAAAGAGTCATCGGCCGTAGAGGGGACCTGTTCCTGTCTGCGGTAGCCCCGACTCAGGATCTCTCTCCTGTGTCAGACGTCCCGGGTTGGGTCCTACGGGCTCCCAGCAGGACGCGTTGGAGAAATGGGGAACCCGTGTCTGGTGCGTCGATTCTCCTCCCCTTCAATTGGACTTGCTAAGAGGTAACGAGCTGCCCCTTTTGACCCGCTATTCGGTACGTGTCGCACCTCATGTTCCTACTGCACTGTGCAGTATTGTGTCGCGTTTCGTCGTGTCGCGTCTACCACAATTTAGCTTCCTCCTTTGTTTTAGAAAAGTAATTACTTGGCATCTTTTTTTTTTGCGTCATGCGTTAGTTCTGAGTCTGTAAAAAGGAAGATTGATCGAACTTTGTTCCATCGGTCTCACTTTGGGTCTCCACTCGCAGCAACCTCCTCGTGGTGAGACCTGGTTAATCGGTGTTACCTTTGAAGAAAAACTTCTTCATTATGGGTAACACCGAGCTAATGGCTGCGAATTTAAAACAATATAAATTTGATTTTTAATCTAAATCAAAATCAAATGTTGTCTAATACTTTTTTCTAGGTACTAATTCTAGAAAAAATTTCAATGAGATAACTTTTACTTTATTTATTTTCAAAATCTCGTATTAATAATATACATATGTGTGCTCATACATGGGAATAAAAAAAAATTTCTTTTTTTTCAATAATTAAAATATGATCAGGAGGTCTTAAAACGTGTATTTCCGTAAAATAAATTTTACAAAATTTTTTTTTCATTATGGATACTTTGCTTATGTGCGCCTACATAGGTCGGAAAGTAAAAATGCCTGGGCAGTCGAGATTCGAAATTGTTTGACATTAGCTCTTCAAGATCAAGAAGGAAAGGCTCCTTCCTTCCTATTCGCCTTCTTTATCGATTTTCCGAAGTTGCGTGAAACACTGACCACACGTAACATGTGGCTCGTGCGGTAGGGTATGTCGGTTAAGGAAATTCGTCGTTACTAGTGTCGTCGTCGATGCGTTCAATTCAATAGTCTATTATGCCAAATCTGGCCACACTGATTTCGATTAAATAATTGAGTTAATATTAAAGTTCTAACATTCCCATTTCCTCCGTTTGGATAAAACTCATCGGAAACGTTTTATATGATAAAAAAAATGTAATTATATCTCTGTTGTTATTTGAAATGATTTATTAATGATAATAAAGCATCACCTACAGTCTGCGATGCTTAAACATTACAATAATTGTAATAATTAATATAATATATACTCCGGTTACTATTTATAATTTATATAATTAATATTTATAGAATAATGTACAATGCTTGGAAAAATACATGAATTTTTAGTGCAAATCAGACACGTTTTCCATTCAATTTTTGTGTATACTCCATTACATTTAATTCTGTTGAGTAAAAAATCGAAGACGATATTCGTTATTACATTTCTTTAATGAATTCATTTTTTTAATTTTGCGTATCATAAATTTAATATTTGTTGCCCTTTTTCTCATATCAACCTGTTTTTTATGTCTGTAGATATTGATGGTCATGCAGTGCCCAATATCTTGTTCGGCAAACTATGTTCACCACAGAAAATTCTCTGAAATTCCTACATCTTCATACAATGTTATATTACACAAAAGGTTTTTTCACAAGCTTTGGGTTCTGCATTTCATTATTTTTAAGGCGCACACCAAAGCAGTCATTTGTTACTTAAATACACGTGGAACACATTGCACTTAGCTTATTAGTAATAATCTTATAACTACAAAGTAATTTCAAATTTAAATAAATTGCCAGTGATTACGGATTTACGGGTTGCAGTACATTCTACGTCTTCTAAGCTCGTATATTACAAAAAATACTGACAAAAAATTAATTTCACACACGAGTACCGATTAATTAAAGAATTGTGGTAACTCCTCGATATCGATATTTTGAAATGTCATTAAGTAGAATCACTTAATATATTTTACAACAAATTAACATGTAAAGAATGGAGGAGATAGCACAGTAAATATTTAGTTTCATAATTATCTTCTTGGTCACAAGTGTTATTGTACAAATTACTAATTTGTAAGCAGCATGCAGTTTTAGTAGAACTTTAATAAGGAAATATTTACAATTTTAGTTTATATTAAAAGAAACGCATTCAGAACAACAACATTTGGTCTTATTCAACTTCTTGGTGGAAAAGGAAACTATTCCCCAACTCTCAAAAACATTATTAGTTTACATATATAAATCAAGTATATTAACATGTGAATTTGAGAATGATTCTAATAGTATATATGAAAAATCACGTTTTACACAGTTATTCTGAACACTGTTTCTTCATAAATTTTGTCTAATCGATGAAACATATCATCTATAAATGTTTTTTAATGAAATACAAAACTGGGTTTTTTTTCTTACTTTAAGCTAAAGAATTTATAATATATAAAAAATAAATATAGCTTAGACTAGCACTGTTGGCGATCACGCGCCATTACACAATCGATAGTTGATAGCTGCCTAATATTATATTTTGTATAAGTAAATTATTGTTACTATCAACAGTTATTGATATTAGCATTCTAAGACTTCATTAAATATTTTTCAATTACCTTGGAAGCATGTTTAATTTTTTTGTGTCTCTTAACATATTAAGTACATGATACTAGCACCGTAGAATATCTTTGTACAGCATAGAAAGGCATACCCATGAAATATTATTCTATAGGTCTCTAATAACATCATAAATATTTCAGTCACTCATTAATTACTCTCAATTACAAGTAAGATTTAAAAAATTGAAGTTTGAACAAGTATGAATATGAGCCGGATGAAATATTTTACATCATAAGTTATGTAATAAATTCTTGTAAATGTCAATTTAATGGGTTCACTTTTCTAGCTCAAGAAACACTTGAATGCATTTTCAATGCTCGGTTAATTCCACTTTGAGAAGAATTTTATTGGTGAAATGTTCAATAAATTTTCTGATAAACAAACTGGAATGTACTAGCAGTACAAAATTCTAATTACTTAGGCAAGAAAGTAACATGTTAGAAATCTATTAGGTATTAAAATTCACCAAAAAAATACTTCTTCAAAGTTCGTCCCTCCTTATTTCTTTAATTCTACTGTATTTTATTTACATTGCGACATATCCTACAATACTGATTATCATTCAGGAAATCATTGTAAAAACATATAGTTTTTGAGACAAAAATCTGTGTCGCTTTTTTATATGTATATGTATAACATTCTATACGAGGTCGGAGAAATAAAAGAATTATTTTGATTCCTTGAAACACGGCGTAGAACATACGCAACATGTAAATAAGTTTTGATTGGCTTGTAAGTTTAATCTAAATTAGTTAGTTGTTATTTTACATTCTCGAACCAATAAATTAAACACATGCATGCTTAAAAAATCAAGTTTAGTTAATTTACTTTTAGTAATTAATAAGAAATAGAATACAGATCAGAATATGGGGCTTCATGAGTGTATTTCTTTCCTTCTTTTTACTTAATTGGTTGGAAAAAAGGGAAAGAAATACGTTTTTTTAATACCCTATATTTTGGTCATATATTAACAATTTAAGAATAAAAGAAGTTTTAGGACACTCGTGCACATAGATTTTATATAGTGTACCTATATAGAGGAATGTATCGACCATTGTTACATTGTTAAACAAATAATAATTATCCAATGTATACTTATATGTACAATATTGATTGCGTATATGGAGTGTTTTTGTTCTAAAACAGTTTTGTAAGTATATCACACCTTAAATGGCTACATACTTTTCATAGATATACTAAGGTATATCAAACACTTTTCTACAGGTACGTCAATCACTTGATTGCATACTGTTTTTATACATAAAACAAGTGTCGTATTAACTGCACACGACGTACTAAATTAAGTCTATCACGCTGGTAGCTCACAAATTCATTAAAATTCCTACTGTACAAAATGTTCACACATATACCTCTGGTGCCATGGTATCCATATAAAGATTAACACAAAATAAAATAATATGTCAAACTTGACGTAGTATAATTAAAAATAAAACAAATTCATACATATTATTATTATTATGTATTACTAGTGTTTTATATATTTATGCAAAAAAAAAATTGCATATACAGGAAAACACTGTGATTTTAGAAAAAGTTACTGTTATCTGTTGTTCGCAATATGAAATTTGCCTACAGGTATACATAAATATATTGTCAAAAAGTAAGTTAAGAAAACTTATAATTGATTTTCTATACCGATCAATGTTTTCCTGGCTATACAATTATTTTTATCATATTATGCAATCGTTAATTTTAACATTCAATTATTGTTGTAAGTTAAAAAATTTTGATGGAATGTAAATTAATGTTAAATTGAATATTTTCAATAAATGTGATCCGACATTTGTATGATTAAAGGAACAATAAAATCTCATTTCTCTAATGTGGCATTGGATAGAAACAAGTGGATACAATTTCTCAATATTCAGAAAAAGGAGTTAATATCATCTTCAACGAATCTGTATAATATAACAAGACGAGTATAATAGAACATAATACTGTTTTATATATGTTCGCTTCCAAAACAGTTAAATTAAGGCATTCATTCTCTTTCAAATGGTTGAAGTGCTCATGTGAATAATAGAAATACACAATATTTACATGCTCAATGCCAGCAGTAGATGCAGGATGTGCGGAATGTATGAATAAAATATTTCTAATACGTACAATTCAAATATCATTAGATAATGTTGAATGCGCAATGCAAGAATTACAATCCTGACATTCATACTATTTCTACAAAACATACATGAGACATACCAGTTCTTTATCGAATTAAAAACAGTCTGATCGAATATAAGAGTCTTTTACAAGGATGTCTCAATATTCCAAATGTGGAATGTTAAATTCTTACTGTATTCGATGACCTGCATTAATACATGAAAAAATGTTCTGCAGGAGGCAGTGTTTTGAGAACGCGCGCGCTATCGCAGAATTCTCTAGTCATAATGATTTGATAAACTTTTGCCGCATCAGATACTCTTTAATTCGTATGATTCTAATTAAGTGTTACTTTCAAGATTATATTTTTATCATTTTAAATGAGCCAATGCTATGATAAAAATTCTCTCTCTAATTCAGAAATACTTGGTTTCCTACTTCTGTTCATTCGTCGATTAGCTTGTAAGGGTACGGTAACATCTTGGTTTTGTCCATGTACAGGAATATCAAGTAATGTCTCTCTATGTTCACGTGAAACTCCATCACGGTCGAAAGTTACAGGTGAAAATCGAACCCTGCTTATAGAAATCTGACTATCTTTAGCCGAAACGTAGCTTGAATCCTCGGATGTTAAAGAATCTGGTGGAGTAGGATTCGTTGGCGTGCCTGAACCCGAATTATTTTTGCTTACACTTTTATTTGGAGAATTATATGAATAATTGGATCGTTTTAAACTTGATCGTAACCGACTGACCACTTCTAAATTGCTTGGTCTTTCTCCCGAGTTTGAATTTGAATCATGTGAGTTTTGACGCGTCAATAATTGTGAACTATATTCGTGATTAAGCATACTAGAACTATACGTTCCTGCATTCGAAATTACGTTTGAAGATCGTTGATAATAATGTCCAGGCGAATACAAAGAATAATCGTCCTCATCTTCTAAACGAAACGTTGGATTAATGTTACTTTGACTCGATGTGCTTGCATTTGAAACATTTGACGAGGTACGATGATGAGTATATGGAGGAAGTCTTGACACAGGACGAGCTGGACTATTTATGCTGCTCGGATTGTCATAAGCGTGTGGAAATTCGGGGCACTCAAGCATTCTATCACTGAAGGGAAAAAAAAATATATACGAATATAATATTCAAGAATCCACCTTTGATGTTACCAAAACACTTACTGGTAATCTGTAGGTACAAAATATGTTGGTTCTGGTGGTCTATAATATTCTGGTGGAACAACCGTATATAACGGGGGTCCATAGTCTGGAAAAGGGGCAACATTTCCCATGTATATCGTTGGTACTCTTTCCATTCGATCAACCCGTCCTCCTGCATCATGTGTGTATACATCTTCGTTACTAGTGCTACTACTCTTTCTTCTAGGGCTTGGCGTTGGTGCATTAGAACCTGTGCTGCTTGCATAATGTTGAGGTGAATCCGTGAATCTCAAGGGTTTGTCAGGCATCACACTCGGAGGAAGACCAGGTGCTATGCCGCCCATGTTACTTAAGAATGGTCTACAGTAATAACAATGATTCTCTTACTTTAAATGTAAACATGTACAAAATCTCAAAAAATCTATACACGTATAGAAGAAGAATAATACTATTGCATATTTAATATTTCAATTTTGTACCTATAATGTCTGGCTGGTCCATGATAGGTATTATGAGGATAACCGCTACTCGAACTGAACTCATAGTCAGGCCCAAGATAACCAGAATTACGATTTGATCCAGTGTCTGCTTGAAACCACCATCGTGGAGATTCATCCTCACCTTCACCATGCCGTGGATACAATCTTGGATGAATCGGAGATATGTTTGACATTCGTACATCATATCCAGTAGCTACTCCAGCTAGCATGGCTGCGATATTATACAAAACCAGCTCTATTATGCTTAACTTTGGTTTTTTCATTTCTCCATTGTAGAGAGTGGGCATTGGAACAGGCATTGGCATGATGTAAGGTCCAGTTAATCCAGGTTTCAAAGAATAATCCGAAGTTACCCAATCAGTCGACAGATCAGGTGGTAAAGCTGTATAATCTATAAAAGCAATCAGATTTCTACAATAATAATGGTGATATTGATGCACATTTATAAAAAGCATAAACTTATACTGTACGATTACTTAATATTTCTACTTTCCTTTTCATAATATTAAATCGATTAAAATAGTTTCTCCGTTACTAGCATTTCTTTCTTTCAGTTCCTATCTAATGAAACCCTTTACAATGATTTTATTTTTTTTCCTTACCTTTGTAAACCATCTTTAAAGGTTTCTAATTAGTATTACACGAGCCTATTATATTAAATTTATGCGAAATAAGTTTAGTATTATGGTTGCAACATGCTTACTTGTTATTGAATTACTTAAAATTAATTGTGTATATAAGCACAATGTGACACGTGCATCATATTAAAACATTACATGCTACATTCTTGTTTCAATCGTCTTTTACTACTAGTACTTATTATAAAGCTTACTCGTTACTTTTTTAAATATAGTCACGATATAAGCACAAAGCCCATATCTTAAAAATAAACGAAGTTTGTTGAAAAATACTAGAATTTTTAGAATAAAGCAGTGTAAAAAAAAAAGGAAAAAATAAAAAAAACATTTGTAAGACAATAAGCACTTACTCTAACTAATTTTAAACAGTTTTCTTTACCCTATGCAATTTCCCTTTTCTCATTTTAGAATACTTTCTCGTATCATCTTCACTTTGGTTTGTTTATTACTTTTGATTCATAATAATAAATGTATATAAAAGTACATAAAGTTAATATTAAATGAAATTATAAGATAATATTCTTTTTGGAAGAGAAATCTGTGTTTACAACTTTCTACTAGTATCAGAATAAAATAGGAATATAAAACTACTAATGGAGTATTCATTCATAAACGAGATTGGAATTTTAGGGTAAAAAAAGGACCAACCCAATCGGCGTTAACTGTTAGGATCCTATTGGAAGCATGCAAAAGGATTCTTTTACGCTCGGCCATTGGCAAAAAATAATTAAAATAATTTCGATATATATAAAATGCAGATATAATAGAAGAACAATATTCTATTATTTTTTATTTGATTTCATAATTAGTATAGTAACCAGAGCAAGTATACAAAAATGATGTATAGTTTTAACTATAAAATGTATACAATTATAATTGTTAATAAATATATACACATCATATATATATATATATATTTAAAATTGTTTAATTACGCCTGGATTACCATAAACCGAGCGTAAAAACTCAGAAAACGAAAAAACAAAATTCAATGTGTCCAACTGAAAAGGTTTTATTGAAAAAAATTTCTATTTCTAAATACAAGTGTGCGTGTCGCTCCATGTGTTGTACGTGATGTGTGCAAATTTTCAGAATCTAAAAAAATGTCAAGAGTCTATGGTAATACAAAAATGAAATCGCTGTTAACTCGGGTTGAATAATTAACAAAATTTAAAACTGACTTAAATGCATCTAAGGCAATAAAGAAAACAGTACAACTCTATTCCCGCAATTGAAACACGATAGTCTGTATAATTTTACTTTAGATTTTTTAACTTTCGAAATTACAACTGTTAAAACACACTTTTTTTAAATAAACGCTCCTAAATAAGAAAAACAATTTTAAACTAAAAAAATTCTTTTGTTGTAATGGCAGAAGCATATAATTTCTTTTCATATAGTAGTGGGCTGTTAGCTCTGCTTTTGTTAGAATGTTACGTACTCCAAATAACATCAGAAAAGAACCAACACCAGAAAGACTGCATTTACATTTTACATCATACTTATTAAATTACAGTTCAAAATATGAAGTTCTTATCAGTTTAAATTAAGATAAATAATTTTTAGATTATTACAGGGTATAAAGCTACCCTTTATTAAAATACCCTAAAATAATATAATGTTCCGTAATTTGATAGATACTTTTATCTTAATAAAATTAGTTAATTAACAGGGGTACCATTTAATTCCTGATAAAAATTTAAAACCGTTTCTTATCGGAAGATACACGGTAACAACATGTATCATTTCAAATAATTCAACTGAATAAAACAATCTTAAACACAACACTATTGGCGTAAAAAAAGAACAACAGTAGTTCATTGTTAAACGTTTGTAACTGTACACGTATTGCTAAAGTATATGCAAATATATTGGGCTTTTCTGAGATAATCAGCACATGTTGAAAATCTAATCGAATGGCGTATTCATGCACTCCTACAAAAATAACTTTAAGCACAATCTACTTAATTATAGAGTTTAGCAAAAACATGAAAAGAAAACCTTTAAATATAAACATAAAAAGGCACTGTCCATCTGAGATCTTTACTATGATGCAAAAAAGTAAAAATATCATTTGTTGAGAGACTAACTGTGATATAGAAAAGGAAACAATCAGGTCTCTTATAAAGTGTAAAACAGTTGCGCAGCAATGTAAAGAGACTTACGAGTGTGATAGATGCTTTCCTCAGAAAGGCCTGCAGTAAAGAAAATATAGGATTGTTACTAAAACATATAAAACAGAAAGAAGACATGTTTGTGAAATGCGTTTACGAGTTTATATGCTCTTACGCACATCTCTATCTTCGTGAAATGCAACGTTATTTATCACTTTTTTTCATAAATTTCTCAGCAACAGAAGTTTTAGACGACGCATAAACGACTGTATTAACGTCTTCAGAACTTCTGTGGGAAGGAACGTCCCTAAGCGATTCAACTAGGTTTCTTTTTGGTCCGTAATTAATCGGTGAATTTTGTCGTTCGCAATCCTGGATATAACTAGGTGTATGCATGATCAAATTGATGCTATCAATATGATCCTCCTCGCAACTACGCAAATATTCGTTACTTTTTGATCTTTGACTTAACAAGGAATTCATATCGAAACTCTGATCTAATTGTGGAGTGTGTTGCTTCAAACATGCATCCGATACGTTGTTGACACAATCAAAAGATGTAGGCGACCTCTTAGATTTACTCTCGTGAAACAAGCCTAATGAATTTTTTGAAATAGAACTATCGTTTGAATGTTCCGAATCAAAATTACAAAGCTCTGACTCGAGACTCTCAAAATCTATACCTTCTCGTGAATTTGCAGTCAAAAACTTGGGCACTGCGCTATTTTGATCGGAATCACGCCTACTAAATGGTGGTATATGTACCGCATTATCTAAAGCGCTATATTCTACTTTAACAGTGGCGAGTTTATCGTCGAGTGCATCTCGACTTCCCCAAGCCTTCATTTTATTAAAAACTCTTAATGGACTTTTAGACATTCTTGATTTATGTTGAGACTTTTTGCTTATTGAATTTTCGGGGCTCGACTCTAAACCATCTGTATTGTTGATTTTAATCGTAACAGAATTTTTTCGCTCTGAGCTACGTGGTGAATTCAAGGAGCTTTTCCTTGAACCGGAAGGGGAACGAAAGAAATCAGCGAAAGCAGCTAATCGTGATTCCGAACTGTCTCTGCGTTTCGATTCTTTCGATTTACTTCTTTCACGTTTCTTCTTCTTGACACGTTTCGCAGTGCCGACCAAACTAAACGCTACGCTCTGTACAACGTTCGAAGAATGTGAGTGCTCCCATTCACCGGCTACGTGTTTCTGACACTTGGGGGGCGAGATCTTTAAAGTGTTTTTACTGGTAGGCATCGAGTAACTGTCCGTGACTACCAAATGCTCGTCCGAAAATTGAGTTTTAAAATTGTTCGCCGATTTGTTATGCAAAACCACAGATTCATAAATATCGTTGTCCACAATAACTGAATCTTCGTCTATATTGCAAGGTGGACAGCTCGTACTTTGCACAATGTTGTTAGAATTTTCTGGAATGTTGTTATAACTATATCCTGGCTGATTGTCTATCAAATTATTTGCTGAGGAGTACAACTTTCTGGAGGTGGGGTTACCTATTTCTTGAAGAAGCGGGGAGCGGTGTACACTTGCCAACAGGGCGGTACGCAGGGGTGTCTTTTCAAGATCTGGAGCAGAACGAGACCACCGCTTGCCACCTGGAGACGCAGGATTTGGTGGCTGTGTGATAATAGCCCCACGTTCACGTTGGTGAAGTGTCGATGGTCCCCAAGTCTTACCCTTTACTCCATCTGCTGGTACTAAAGGAGGAAGACAAAAAACAAAACGCTACTCACTACAATTCTAGTTCTCGCTACTAGGCTCTTTTAAACTTTTTGCGCGTTTCAAAAAGATAAAGATGTTCCGTAAGATAACTGTTACTTTTTCATTCAAATTTTTACATATATGTATATTATAAATCATCAGACAATTAACAAAACTTGTGAAATAAATACTCTATATCAAATGATACTACTTATGCAATTACAAAATTTTATAGTACAAAATGAAATCGAAAACATTTCCTATAATTTTATTTAAAAAGGAGGAGAAGAGAAAATTGGAAAACACAACATAAACTTTACATGTAATCTTTAAAAAATATATAAAAGTGTATTCAATTATTCACACCATGCTAATAAAGATCAAATATTAAATTAATACAACGTGACTACAAAGCACAATCAATGTGATTCAGATTCCTAACAAATACTGAAAAATATCTCAGGGCAAAATCATTCATATCGTACAACACGTAATCAGAAACGTGAGCTACTAAAAATTCTAGAAACAAGTCACTCACATGCAATTGCACGAAGTCTTGGAATACTAGGCGAGCCTGGTGGACTGTTAGGTCTCGATGGATTTCGTACTTTCCCCCGATCTAATGCCGTGTGTTGAACAGTTATTGTATGACGAAAATCTATAAATAAAAGTGTGCGATCATTATTATTCTAGCCGATCATTTAATATCATGTTCTAGTAGTTTCAATTTTGTCAGAATACTGCTAAATAAAATTATATTTACAATATACTAACCAGAAGGAGCACTAATGTTACTTCCAGGTTCTTTTTTATTCAGTTTTAATCTTGATTTCTTGAACTTTCCGCGCCTTTTGTTTGGTGTAGGAGTATTTTGTTGCTGAATTATCATTACAGTGAGTTCACGTTCTAATAAGTCTATTTCTCGGGCTGCTAATTCTTGTTCTCGTTGCCTCAAGTTTTCTTCGTGTTGTCGTTGTTGTACTTGTGCTTTCGTTAATTCTTCCTCTCTACAGCGCAATTCCTAATCGGCAAAAAAAAATATAACAAGATTAAATTTCAGAAACATTTGATAACCCTGATATTTATTATTTAAGAGAATAAATATATTTGCTGTCAAAAACGAAAACAGTTATTAATCTCAGTAATGATTGAACATTACCTTACCTCTTCTAAGGAACGGCATGCCTTTGTATAGCATTTGAAAGAACGATTATAAATGTTATTCACGTTGATAGAAATTATATGCTTACAACTTACAATGATCGAAGAAGTTAGATCTTTAGACAAGTTTGCATTCATACGATAGAAAAATAAAAGATGTATACCTTTTCCTTCATGCGCAATCCATGAAGAACTTGTTCAATTTCAAGTCTCCAGTCTTCTTGCATTGTGTGAAATGACTCGTGTGGCGTTGCTGCAAATGCACTACGTACTTCATCCAGTGCTACCAGGATTTCGGCAAACCCTGGTCTTGAATGACTATCCGATGCCCAGCAAGCTAAATAATTAAATATTTTTTATTTTATTTTCAGGTTCAAGCAATAATTTTCATGTTTTTAATATCGATACTAATGTACCTTCCATTAAAAACCTCCAAGGCTGAGGACAAGTCGTTGGAATAGGCAATGTAAGTTTATTTACTGCAACACCATATGCTACTGCCAAAGCATCTATTCCTTTATAAGGAGTTTCACCAGTTAGAAGTTCCCACAAAAGAACGCCATAGCTGCAAATGTATCAAAAACATAGTAATAAAAGATAAAAATAATTAGACTAATTAAAACAAGGTTCATTATAATTAAAGTGATACAGGAGGCACCTAAAACTGACCTCCAAACATCACTGGCTTTACTGAAAGTACTCTTTTTAATAACCTCTGGTGCCATCCAAGCATATGTGCCTGCTGCTGACATGCGAGTTGTCTTATAAACTTCCCTTGCTAATCCAAAATCAGTTATCTTCAATGTTTTATATTGTAGATCATCATTTTCTATAGGCTCGCTTAATAGCACTATTATCGATGAAAATAATATTGACAAGTTATTTATTCATTTAAATATACACATGATGTTTTTTGTAAATGTCTTACCATTAGAGCTTTTCAAGTCCCTGTGAATAAGACTTATAGGAGCTTTATTATGAAGGTAGTCCATGCCACGAGCAATCTGAATTGCCCAATCAACAAGTACGTCAGGCCTGATTTTTCTACCACTAAGAACCCTATTCAAACTACCTCCTCGCGCATATTCCATTACGAGACACATATTTGGCATTTTTAAACAAACACCTTCTAACTGCACAATGTTCTCATGTTTCAGTAACCAAAATAACTTTGCTTCTTGTTGAACATTTTCTAACGTAACACTTGGATCTTCATCTGGATCTTGACGGGCTGCTTTAACGGCTACTTCGTGTTTCTGCCAGAATCCTCTAAAATAATTAGTAAAAATGATGGATGTTATTGCAAAAAACCATTAACATATTTAACTGTGATATGTTAGAGACATGAAACATTACCTGTAAACTTTCCCAAACCCACCAACCCCTATCACTTCTTCTAATTGCAACTCTTCAAAATCAATTTCAACAGGTTGAACTTTATCGATCACCGATGAGACCCTATCAATACTATCTGCTTCTGCAACAAAATTGGCTGGAAAAATACCAACTTTTCCATGGATTTTTCCAGTCCACCATCCCTCGTCACCTGAGATTTTTGAATCCTTTGACAGGACCTAATACAACAAACATGACACAAATATATATATACTTTAATGTCCTGATATAAACATTGATTATCCGAACTATGATTATAGGAAGACGAATTCATTGGTCTAGGAAAACTAAAATTGTAATTATCTAATAAACCAACAAGAAATAAAATAATTTGTAAGATGCATGATTATTGCTTTAAAGAACACATGGCAGATATAATAGAAAATAAAAATTAATAATTTTTTAATATAGCTAAGTTTTAAATGTTTAATAATATTTTAACCATTTTCCCAATTCCAACACTACTTTTTCCTCCTATTACTCATACTATATACAAAACATATAATTTGAACTGGGATATTTACATCTAATACTTATAAAACATTAAACTAGGATACTTGAATCATAGGTATAATGTATCTATCGAAGAGATTAGTAAAATTTTTTATGTATAACAAATACATGTTTCAAAGTGTGGACAATGTTGATGCACAACTTGTAACACTATATGTATATATGTCTATTTTATTTTGTGTTCCAATAGAATAATAGATATTTAGTCGTTTAGATATTCAACATTTTATTGTATTTAAATTGATAAATGGCAGATAGTTTACCTCGACTGTTTCGCCTCTTTGCAAGGATAGCTCATCCTCGCCTTGGGCAACATAATCGAATAATGCTGTAAAAATTGCAGAACTATTGTCCTGCCGTGATTGAGAAGAGGAATGTGTACCATGGGAAGGACTAGTCTGTTGAGAAACAGTTCTTGCTGTACCGCCACTATGTGTATCAGAAACACTGCTATCAGACATATTGTTGCTAGATGTACGTCCATACAAATATCCGTAACTAAAATACAAAGCTTAAATAAGGTACACGTTTTTAATGTTAAAGTCTCATGAAATTTGATACGTTTATGAATATATAGATAGATAATTATCTGTACCTCGTGGAATGATTATTTGTTCTATTATTATGTTGATATCGTGGAGATGAGTTGGCTGTGTTAGGACTATGAGAATTAGAGGAGCCATTCTCTGGATGAAGTAGAAACCGCTCGCTCCGATGACGAGCATCCGGTTGTCCGTGGTCCATCAAGGTAGACAAGCCTCTTGCCGATAGCCCGGCTGGCGGCATAAGGCCTGACACTCTCTGTATTCTTCACCTTTCTGGAAATTACACCTTCTTTGTCTTGTAGCTTTTGTGCAATATTGTGTTGGTAAAATTGCAAGTAATAACATAGAATGCTTTAGCTGTGTTGTTAGTTCCTCTTGAAAGATGATAAAAATACATGTACAAGAATCAACAGAAGCTCTATATCCACCTGCTATTATTTTTTAACACTGTCCACAAATCCTTGCACATTTCACATTATTTTTACACGTGTCTCTCAAAACCATTATTGATACGCGAACGTAAAGTAATTTTACTTGACATTTCAACGATAATTTAAATGTACGCACACGTTTCGCGTAAAAAATGTGGGGTGACAGGAGGTGATCACCACCACTAACACCCCATGCATAAAAACACTTTAACAGTGACCGGCATTTTGATTCGCGAGTCCGGGAGCAATGCGTGAGGATTTCGTGATCTTTCGTCGAGGATCGTAATCCTATAAAGATCACTAGAGGGTAAAATTTTAGAAGAGTAGAAAAAAGCTCGATATGCCGTAAAACCACTTTGGAGTCTCGCGTCGGGGTGTGTATACCCACAAGCCACTGTTGACGAGGCTGATTCTCCTCATTAAATCGGGACTAGAAGCAATGTACGCGGGTCGTGCAGGGTTGAAAGCGACGTGTTCGCCTCCCGGAGGACACGACGCTTCGCGTCAGCCCGCAAACCGCACGATGATTCCACATTTAATGATAGAAAACGGAGCAGCACTCATAGCAATAACCTAACGGACGCCATGTTTCGTTTGACGGCCCCACCGTTGACGTGATGATATATTGGACTGCAATTCATAGGGAGGACATTTGAAAGGCCGCTTCGCTCGTGTTGCTCGAGTCTCGCAAGGTTTATCCACAATAAAGCAATAATTAAATTGCTCAAGAAAAATCATCTTTTTACTTGAACTTTGTTAAAAATAATACATATATCTCATTTAACATTTAAATCTTTTAACAATGGAAAAGGTTCTTTAGCGATTACATTATTTGTTTTATAATTCTATTCAATATCAACGAACCGTTTATGTGCAGTAATTCGGAAGGAAATTGTAAGCGTATGTATGCACTAACCGCTAGCCCTATATGAAATCGTATGGTTCATGCCAAAAATCATCTGGGAAGTGAAGATGGCTGTGGAGTGTGGAGCCAGTAAGTTCTGTGCGCCAAATCCATTGATTAAATAAGGCCGAGATAAAATGTATCGCCTTATTATTTACCACAGAATTTTCCAAATAGAGAAGATAGGCCACGTATAAAGCTGTGAAACAGCAAGTGATGGGACGATGGTGAGAGGGTATGGTATGGGTTCTCAAATGCTGGAAATTATGAGACAAGGCGTCTGGGCTAGCCTGACAGGAGGCTGGTTTTACGATCCTCATCTCGACGTTTTTTCAAACACTTTTCATCTTTATGTTTGGCTTTTCTTGCTCTGCCTGCCGTTCACTATATATCTTGTAAGTCAATTTATATGCATATTAATATTCGTTTGAAAGTTGTTCGCTTTAGACAAGATAACGTTTACATAAACTGTATATGTTTACATTGCCATGTGGGTAAATAATCGTAATTTATTTATAGTATATTTCGAATTTTATTATTTCTTTCTCTAATACTTTAAATCTACATGTGGTAAATTTTATATAATTACATGGTTTGTCTATTTGATACATTTAGTTATTTTCTGAAATATTCATTTTTTATTTTATAGTACTTTCCACCGACATTATGTGTTTGGTTGGCGTATTGTTCTTCGATCGGAGCACTTTTTGGTACAATAAAATGTGTAAATCATGCGCTTCATTGTGTGTACGATACAACCGAGTGCTTGGAAGAATCAGGTCAAGCTGTTAGTCAACAAAGGTCAGAAAGTGAAAAAAGACGCACGACGCATAACAAATGCAGGGAACAATCACAGGATCAAGTAGATCATGGAATAGAACTTCAAGTTTTAAATGGTACTAAAAATTATGTCTTTTATAATGCAAATGTATTATATAACTCTATAAATTATATTACATGTGATTTTGATAATTTTTAGATATAAAACATAATTAGCCATTGGAATATTATTTTTTCATAGGAAAAACAGATACACCACCTGTAGAGTGCTCGTCGCGTAACTCTTTTATCGAATCAAATGTGCAAAATGCAGATGCAGATAGTATTACATCCGAATACAATCGAGACAAGCCTAGTTCAACTATAGATTTAAAAGTCGAAATTCATAGAAAAAATAGCTCGGAAAGTTCAGAAGAAGCACAACAGATGACTAAACCGATGGTACCAAGTATTTATGTGCATGAAACAGAATTAGCTTCCGCACAGTACCATGAACCACGTTTTCGAAATATAGTGAATGGTATTAATTTTGTCATTTTCACTGTGAATATTTTTTTCGATTCGATCGCTTTCTCATATATACTAATATTTATTTTTTGGTGGTTCAATTACATACAGAAAGACGATTAAAGCTGCAACAGAATGTGCAGAAATGTGTTGTAATTGCAGAAGAAGATAGACAAGGATCAAGAAAGTTATGCAGACATGCATCCGAAGAATCACGAAACCGTCATTCGAAACAAAGTAGCCTTGGTAAAACAGGTTCTGAAAGTCAAATAAAACAAACAAGTTCTTTAGAATTGGAACATCATGGAGATGATTATCCTTATTGGAAGTCTAATCAAAGTGTACGCCGTCTCAATTCTAATTCGATTCCAATGGAGACTCATTTAATGAATGATCATCCACAAAGTTTAGAAATTATATCAAAAAAGGAAGACGCAGATAAAAATAAAATTTTGTCGCACCCGCAATCTTTAGAGGTAAAAATTAAAAAATTTATAATTTCAGAAAAACATTCCTATAATGTACGGTATAAATATCTATATGTTATATTTTTGGTTTCAGGTTATTACAAAAAAGCCACATCAACAACTTATTCATCCACAAAGTCTTGAAACGATTGGTGCTACTAGCAAAAACATAAGTACTACGGATGACAATAATTTACCTCTTCACCCTCAAAGTCTTGAAACAATCAATACTAAAAAGGTATTAATATAACGTTAATGTACATATACATATACACATACATAATACTATACATATTTAATATTAAATGAAAGGTTCATACCACCGGTGTCGATATGTATTTCTTTTTCTATTAAAATTTAAAACAAGTATTTTTAATGGAATATTATTAATATTATATCGAAAATATATGGATATTTTAAAGGTATTACCTCAAAATACATTGAAAAAAAACCAACTGCAGTTATTACCATATCTTAGTTATGGGTCAGAAATAGTACACCCTATAGCGGAACAAAGCGATGAACAATTTGCTAATGAAAGCTCTGGAGGATTCCGTGATTCTTATAGTCCATTACTTACTCGGAAAACTTGCGAAACTAATTCTACATCTAATCGGGATAGAAGTCTTAGTACTAGCCGATTCGAAGATAGATTTTCGAGGTAACTTTAAAATAAAAAAAAAATATTTAATAAATTATCATGTAATTGATTTACAAATATAAAAAAACTGTCTTTTTAAATTTGACATTATATTTAGATTTAATGGAGATGGTGGTATAGATAATGATTCTGCAAACTCACGCGATGCATTAATTGAAGAACCAAAGCCTGGTGTTAACAGAAGATATAGCAATGCAAGCCAAAGCAGTCATGAATTTTCGGATGGCGAGAGGCCCAAAGACAAACAAGATAAATTGAAAAGTATAGATGACCCATTAAATATCGGAAGTGTAGTTGGAATAGATCGATTGTTTGAAAGTAGTGATTGTGCAATGGAGTCACGAACAAATAAAAGTAATTTTAATTTTTGATTACTTAATATTAAAGAGATATGTTTTTGTAATTAGATATGGTGTATATAAAGAGACATTCCTGAAATAAAATTTATCGTTCCTTTTGTTGTATAACAGATATACATAATAAAGAACCAGATTCTGGTTCGTCTAGTACAACGACACTGAGTATGGAAAACGAAGTGAAAAGAAAGTTACTTCCGCAACCAGATACGGATAACAAACGACATCAAGGTGCGATACCCAAACAAAACCGTCCAAAACCTGCAATGGATGCCATAGATGATAATATTACGACTACAGAACAAACCCGGCCGAAACTTAAACGAACGCTAGAAGTGAGAAGAGATAAAGATAGAAGAAGGGATAGAAGATTTGAGCAACAAACTAGCGGTTCAAACAACGAATTAAGTACACTTAGTTTTGCATCTTCTTTATTAGCTACATTGTTGACTTCTAGCCGAGATTTACCTGGTCAATCCAGTACTGTGTCCGATTTAAGACTAAGTCACAATTCTGAAAATCGAAATCCACGAGCAAGACGAGGTACATTGAAACGCTTAATCAGACTACATCACAGAACACGAGATAGAAGTCGAGAAGACAATGTTGTACCGCTCGCTGCTTTACTTGGATTAATATCAAACGACGAGTGTGATATAGTTGCCAATCATAACGACACGGTAGTACCTTTAGAAGCAGTACCTTCTTTTGGAGATGAAAATGGACGCTGGTTGGCTTACACCTTTGACGAAAAAGGATCTGGTGTTGCCGCCGCTGCACAAGTTCCTTCTAGTAGTAACAACAAACTATTAAACACGTTGTTACGTCAGCAACTTAATCAAGATTTACATTATGGCGCGAAGTGGGAGCTTACAGATTCCCTAAGCAACAGTTGTAGTAGCTTGTCTTTGAACTCTGCCGGCTTAAGTGTTATAATAGACACACCGCCAGTTTTATCGAGCCCAGAAAGCAACCAAACTAAAGCACAAAATTCACTGTCATCAAATTTAGTTTCTTCGAACACCGGAAGCACTAATCATTGTACAGTGGAAATTTCAGAGCGAGATTCTAATCAATGTACAATAGAAACTTTAGAACGAGATCTATTTAATCAGGAAATAATACCACATATGGACTCAATGACAGATAGAAATGGAAGATTACAAGGTTTATTAGGATATCTTAATTTAAATATTTACTCATCAGACATTCATCGCCGAATGCCACTTTTAACGTTACCACCGCATCAAGAAGCTGATATAAATACAAGTTTATCTTGGAACCGATTTATTGGCAGTTTAGATGGATCCGATTCTAAGCCTAAACAAGCAAGACATTATTATAAATGGAAAATTGGCAAATTACCGCACATGAAAGTGCGGTTTGATCGTTTATTTTTATTAGCTTTATTAGATCGAAATTTGACGATTTTTGAAACAATCGTTTCAACGTTTTTGGCAGTTGCTGTTGCGGGATTAGGTCTCGTGCTACTTCAACAAGGATTCTACCAAGATATATTTGCCTTTATGTTTTGTTTCGTAACCGCCGGATGTCAGTATTCATTATTAAAATCCGTTCAACCTGATGCTGCTTCTCCGACACATGGATTTAATCGTATTATAGTATTTTCCCGGCCTATATATTATATACTATGTTCAGGATTCATATTAATCTTTAATGAATTTCTAAGAAACTTCAAAACGTCGGAATTTCGAATATACGGACTGCGTGTCTCCGATTATGACGTTATATTACAAATTCGTAATATTTTGTTAATTTTCCTTTTGTGTTTTCCAATAGTGTTTTCTTTAGGTTTATTCCCACAAATCAATACCTTTTTAATGTATCTCTGTGAACATGTAGATATTCATTTGTTTGGTGGAAATGCAACCACCAGTCTAGTCTCTTCGATATATTGTCTTTGTCGCAGTGTCATCACTGTTGTCGTTCTGTATGGTTTTGCTTACGGTGCACTTACGGAGCCCAAATCCTCCCAACATATTTTATTCTCGATTTTTGCGGGTCTACTAGTTGCTATATCCTATCATTTAAGCCGATCGTCTTCGGATCCTACTGTAATATGGGATATTGTAAAAACGAACTTATGGCCGCCAGAAATTTATATGGAAGAGAAAGAAGCAAAAATCATCGAGAATACGACTCGTGGAGATAATTTGTCTGAAACATACAAAGAAGCAAAAATCAGAGCATCAGGAACGAAGAAACACGTGAAAATTAAAGTTGCTGAACAAATGTCGGACACAGAATTAGTGGATCCTTTGCCTGAAAAACTAAGAGCAACAGTGAACGCAAGATTGAAAAATGATTTGATAGTATGCGCAGTGATAGGTACTTTGTCATTTGGAATCCATTGTTCGACCGTGTTTACTGCTTTACAACCAGAACTAAACCCAGTCTTATGGGGTATCGTAACTTGCCTTGGATTTCTCTTACATTACATTGTACCACAGCTTCGAAAACATTCACCGTGGTTGTGCTTGGCGAGACCAATACTACGTAGTTATGAACATGGACAGTTTGAAGTTCATGAGCCAGTGAAGATTATGTGGTTTGAAAAAGCATACGTTTGCCTTTCTTTCTTAGAAAGAAATGTTCTCTATCCGGTAGTGTTTCTAGGAGCACTCACTGAATGTTCATCGAAAATCGTAAGCAAATTTGGAGAGAGTATTGGTGCGTTAATTATAATTATATGTGGATTGAAATCCTTAAGATCTGCGTATTCTGATCCATCGACACGTTACCTAGTTCTGATATTTGCTGTGCTGTTCTTCAAACTAGATTACCGAGAACTCAGTGAAACGTTTCTTGTAGATTATTTTATCACAGGAATAGCATTTGCAAAAGTTTATGAATTGCTGTTAAAGATACGATTTGTAGTTACATACATTGCGCCTTGGCAAATCACATGGGGTAGTGCGTTTCATGCGTTCGCACAACCTTTCTCGGTTCCACATTCTGCTATGCTGTTCTTACAAGCAGTCATTTCTGCAATCTTGAGTACTCCCTTAAACCCACTTTTGGGTAGCGCAATTTTTATATCATCTTATGTACGTCCGGTGAAGTTTTGGGAAAGAGACTATAAGACGAGAAGAGTTGATCATTCCAACACACGAATGTCTTCGCATTTAGACCGGAATCTAGGCGCAGATGATAATAATATAAATTCGATCTTCTATGAGCAATTGACGAGATCACTGCAACACAGTCTTTACGGAGATCTTGCTCTTGGTCGATGGGGAAACGTGGAACAAGGCGACTGTTTTCTATTAGCATCCGATTATTTAAACTGTTTGGTGCACATTGTTCAATTAGGCAATGGATTAGTAACGTTTCAATTGAGAGGTCTTGAATTTAGGGGAACGTATTGTCAACAGAGAGAAGTATGTATACTGCTATATCAACTACCAAACATTTGAAAACAAACGTATTGTTTAATTTGAAAATTATGATTTTGATTTTAGGTGGAAGCAATATCTGAAGGAATCGAAGACAATGATAATTGTTGTTGCTGTGAAATGGGACATTTTTCAAACGTATTGAGTGTAAATGCAGCGTTTAGCCAGCGTTGGCTGGCTTGGGAAGTTGCAAGATCTAAATACGTTTTAGAGGGATACTCGATTTCGGATAATTCAGCTGTTTCCATGCTTCAAGTGTTTGAGTTTCGTAAAGTATTGGTTACTTACTACGTAAAAAGTATTGTCTTTTATGCTGTAAAATCTTCAAAATTAAAATATTGGTTGGGGAATTCCGATATTTCGGACGCTCTTGAAATATCTCTCGATAAGAACTTCGTCGACCTTGATCCCGTTTTCAATATGAACATCGATGAAGATTTTGACTTTCGAGCCAGCGGAATTACAAGAAGCAGTTTTTGTAATGTTTATTTAGATTGGATACAATATTGCATTACCAAACATGATAAGGTAATTTATTGTTAACGCTAAATTATTTTAACTTTTATACAGCACTGTTTCCTTCTAATTATTTTAGACAGTAGATAGAACAAGAGAATCACCGTTAGTTTCTCTGTGTCTTGCATTGAGTCTTCTGGGGAGACGTGTTTTGGGAGCAGCATCTCACAATACTGTATCCAGCGTTGAATTTTTTCTATATGGATTGCATGCTCTTTTCAAAGGTATAATTTTGTATATAATAAATAATAGCAAAATCGAATATACATATACACACACACATATATTCGTTTAATAAATTTCTTTCTTCTATTCAGGAGATTTTCGTATAACATCAATTCGTGATGAATGGGTGTTACATGATGTCGATTTATTACGAAGCGTTGTAGCGAAAGGTGTAAGAATGGCACTAAAACTACATCAAGACCATTTTATGAGTCCAGAGCAATACGTTGAATCCTCTGCTCTTTACGAAGCTATAGATAGTCATGATAAAAATCTTGTGATTAGTCACGAAGCAGATCCACTGTGGAGAAACGCTATTTTAAACGGCGCACCCAGTCTTCTAGCTCTTAGGTATTTTAATACTGTAATAATTGCGAGTATTAAAATGTCATTAATACTCGCAATTAATATCATGTTTGTCCTTTGTTTATAGACATGTCCTCGATGACGGCATCGATGAATATAAAGTAATTATGCTTAACAAACGTTTCCTGAGCTTCCGAGTAATTAAAATGAATCGCGAATGTGTTCGTGGCCTCTGGGCTGGACAACAACAAGAATTAGTATATTTGAGAAATAGAAATCCAGAGCGAGGTTCTATACAAAATGCAAAGCAGGCCCTCAGAAATATAATAAATAGTTCTTGCGATCAACCAATTGGATATCCGATTTATGTCTCGCCATTGACAACTAGTTATGCAGAGACCAATGAACAATTATGTTCTATAGTAGGAGGACCTTTGAGCCTCGGTGTAATTAAGCGTAATGTGTTAAAATTGTGGCAAAGGTACGACCTTTTCATTATATTACAGTGTTATAAGCTGTTATTGTCCCTTGAAAAGTTTATTATTGTATAAAATATTATTTTCAGAATCAGAAGAAGGTGCGGTCAAGGTTGTTCATCGGGTGGAACAGGATCTCAAGACGATGGAGGTTTTGGAAACAATGGAGTATATGCAATGACTACTTATAACATTCATTCGGGTACTTGTAATTATCAGTAAATTAATATCAATTACTTTTTATGATATTAAAATGAGATTCTCGATATAGGTTATGGTCAATCGGGTCACAACACATCTGGCTCGCAATCTATAGATTCTGGATGTCAAATTGGCGAATCAACTGGTCGTGGTTCTTTGGGAAGAGCAAATACAGGATCTCTTGGTGGAAATAGAGAATCATTGGCTTCAGTTGGAAAACCGACTAGCTCGACGCTTGCTAGTTTGGCTGGTCTTCTTAGTAATAGTGATATTAAGACCGAGACTAAGAGCGAAACAAGTTTCTCCAATAAACTTGAGAGAGATGAAGGTGTGAGAAAAGTTCGTGTAAGTCGAAAACAAACTTCATTTTAATTGAAATATGTTTAAATATCTACAATTTCCTATATCTTCTTCAATATTATTGAAATTATTTTTCTCTTCAGTTTTGACGGTTTTATTTGTTATTAGATCATAGATCCTACTCTAGTATACGATGCTATTAATTTGGGCCGTCGAATAGATGTAATTTGGCCAGATGAGAGAATGAAACAACAGGGAGGTAGATCCGGATGGCAACATTGGGTACCAGAAAGAGGTATGGTAGGATGTGTTATTTATCATTGGTTCCCAAATCATCGTGATCCTAATCGACGATCTCACGTGGATAAAGTTATTTTACTTGTTAAAATTGATGATAAATATGTTCCAATAGCGGAACAAGGTGTACGAGACATAGGGGCAGAAGTGTGATGAAGTATTTTTTAACCTTCCATTGTAATACACACTCTGAGAATTTTCGTACAGTCATTTTTCAAATCACGCATCGCGAATGTTAATATAAATGCATTAAAAATGAAGATTTCATTCCAATTATAAAGTAAAAAATACAAAAATTTTTGATGGACGATTATTCTTAAAATTGTAAATAACGAAAATCGACGAATTTTAAAACGTTTGTTAATTCCATTATAATATATAGCTTCAAAATACTCTCCGCTATGCAGTTTTTGAAAAATTTTCATTCGCTCAATATTTCTTTTATATTCATTTGCTCCTGTATTCTTTCTTCGTTACAATAATTATTCGGTAGATGCAATTTTCTGGACATACTTAAAAAATATATTATGAAATTCAAAAGTTTGCGCAAACGATAATTAAAATTGTTGCCACTTGCAACTATGATGGAAATATTACCGAGAAGACTAATACCAATCACCAAGTTATTCAATCCAAAGTAAATTGTATCATGTTGTATTATACTATGTATCATATAACTATTAGATCGTTTAGTAGTTATGAAAACTGGATGTTACTTGTTGTTGACGAACTATCAACACAATTGGGTATATTCAGGTTTCACTAATTAGTAAAGAGATCCATATTTTTTTTTAGCACAAACAATTATGTAATATAAATTATACAAACTTGATTCACAAGTAGCCACTATACAATTCTCTATAATTGAGTATTTTTCTTTGTTCGATGTATATGAAAATGAAGAAAGTATAACAATTATTAGCTGTATCAGCAAGTATTTATACATATTTTTAAATTAGATTCTGGACCACAGAGTTTGCTATAAATTATCATGAATTGCATTGTTAATTAGAAAATGAAATAGAAATAATGCTTTGGCATTATTATTGTCGAATATGCCCAATAACAACAAGTAACATCTATAGGAATTTGTATATAATGTCATTCGTGTTTTTCTACATTTTGTTACATTTTTTTTAAACTACTCGATATAGATAAGTTGTAAATATACGTAAAATTTCTGCAAGATTAAAGCGTCCAAACGTATTTACTGAACGTGTAATTTTGCGGAGTCATACAGTTGGCTCTGCAGAACATATCGGTGCACTAATAGCAGTGTAATATATGTATAACTCGAACAACTTGGTTTGTATATCTTTATTGTATGAAAATTATGATGAACACAGTGGTGTATTTACATTTGATATGTATTTCATTATAATATCCATTGAAACTAATGCATTAAAATAATGAAACACTATCATAAAAAAAATAAAAACCACATGCCATGTAAAAACTTATCATGTGTAAATGCACCACAACATTTATCTACAAAAGAAAAATAAATATTATCATTTTTCTTTTAAAAAGACTTGTAAACGTTTCTTCCTAGTTTTGTATATATTCGTAGTTACGAATAAGTTACTTTTAAATTTATTTGTTTTGCCGCAACTGTTAAAGAAATTTAAAGCGTGTGTACTGGTTATTAAAATAATAAAAAAGACGAGGTTGCTTGCAAAAATATAAAATACTCTCTTGTTTATGATTAAATAAAGAAAGAGTAGTACATATAATTATAGTATATATATATTTGACATGAATGATGAACAATTTTGCAAGTAACCAAAAAAATCACAGCATTGCCTTATCATGGTGTCTCTTGAAAGCACCTGACTGATGAAGAAATTTTTAGCTAGTCCTTTAATTATTGGTATACATTTATGTATCACTTGCTGCCAAGGGTAAAAAATTTCTCTCTTCAGGGAATACATGGATTAAATGGTCTTTATTAAATATCTGGCCTACTATCTACAATCGACAGTACTTTCATACACAGATTGTACAGAATTGTTTTACGATGTAGAATAAACACAGAACAAAAAGTTATATTGGACAACAATTTGTTTATAATTCCTGCATCTATCATGTGTATTAATATCGTAGATTCGATATTTAACATTATATGATTGTTAGCTCTGTTGCACAATGTATTTTAAATGAATTTTATTGAGATCGCTGAGATTAATCTTATTAATTGTATTCCATTATGAGATATTTAAGTAGTAATGCAAAGAAAGTGAGTACCTTGAAATATATTTCAGTTTTACACATTAGAATTACTTTATTAAATATTGCTAGTATGATGACACTGTAGATCAAAAAAGGCCGTTAATCTTAATTATTACAATGTATTGTACTATGTAATACACAATCAGTTTTAAAGAATCATTTTATAATCATATTATAATATAATTGACACATAAAACATTACCAAAAGTTTGTAAAGTAATTAACAAGTTATTATTATAAAAATTATAAATAATAAATGAGAATACGTTATCTTTTTAGAAATAGTAGTTTTATATTTTATCCTAGTATTTATTCATTATGAATGAAGAATGCACCTACAGTGAAAATTCTAGATAGTGTTGAAATTTTCTAAGGAATCTTTATTGAAATTTTGAATGATTGATTTTCCTGGAACTACGGTTGTTTATATGTTCCCATACTATTTAATAGAATTTTATGTAACTTTTTTATATAACTATATATATGTATGTATATATATATATATATATATATTTTTATTTAATTTTATAATTTACGTTCACGACATGTAATTGCTATTGTTTTGTCTATACAATTCAGAGAAGAAAGAAGTAACTCTATATAAATCATTTTCATAAAAGTAATATTTCAATGTTAGGATAATATTTATGCTCACTGAAATAAAATTATATAGCACAATACAAATTGATTAATTATTGAAATAATTTCATACAATGTACAACCGTAATATGCGTTTAAACTTCATTCTTACCATCTTTAGAATTTGAGGGACCAGTATGAGTAAGTTTATGTATTATATTTTCTATCATATCCATATCAACTAAACCTACAAATTTATCAACAACCAGCCCCTTTGAAATTGCTATAACAGCTGGCACAGCTTTTACTTCAAAGATGTGTACTAATTCTGGATTTGATTCTAAATTTATAATCGCAAGATCTAATGTATCCATTGGCTCTATAAGGTGAATTAATCTAGGTGTGAGTATTTTACAAGGACCACACCATTCAGCATGAAAATTTACAATAACAGGTACCGAACTATTCATTACCTTACTAACAAATTCACTATTGTTATTTATTTCAAATCGTTTATTCTTCTGATGGGACAGAGAAACACTTCGCACCAACATTGATGATAGTTTAGTAGTGTTGCGCAGCATTTTTTAATCTTATAAACACTGTTTCTATTACAAGTAACAATAAATTGATTAACTGGAAACAATTTTTAATCTAAAGTACCCTTTCCCAGTTACTGCACATAATAAATAGGAATTAGCAGTCATACATATTTACACTCCTATTTTGTTGGTAGGTTCTGAAAGTTATATAGAAATAAACAAAATTAATTCCTTCTCTATATCGGTTGCTTATATCGAAATTACAATAGAAGTTTCATTCGATACAATGAAAATATTTTATGATGGTTTGTTTTAAATTGTTGATAATCTAACTAATTCGTATTATTAATATTAACATGCTCGTAACGTCATACTATTGGATATATCTATGGGAGACTCAATAATCAATGTGTTAAAATATTATATAGTCCAATATTATTAGGCCAAGAATTTGTTTTAGAAATTTGTATCATTTGATAATGGACAATCGACTACGTAACTATTTTTTTTAATTATATTACAAAATACTTACTATAAATATCTAAGAAATCCAATTACTTATTCGAATTGGCCTGACAGATTCTATTAATTCAAATTTAATATATCCTACCAAGCCAATGACAGAAGATACAACCAACAGCACAAGTAATAGAATACGCCAGATAAATAAATGATCATATATCTGGAAAAGAAATATTCTTTACAGGTATGAAAGCATGAAGATTACAGTTACTGGTTAAAATTTGTATTATTTTTTTTACATAATTATTTTATGTACAAATAGCAATACAAGTATATGTTAATTTCCTATTACAAAAATAATTATTTTGCATACCTTTTTCTCAATGGAGACCGGTTTGACAGATGCTCTTGGTAAAACAATTAAAATAATTGTACATACGCTAACAATCAATATAGCAATAGCACCAATTTTCTTCTCAACGCGTAAAGTAATAATAAACAGAAATAAAGCCAAAGCCCACAGAATCAGAATAAGGAATAATCCTATACCAATTCCAAATATCAAATTAGTCATACCACTAAAAAAAAGAAATTCAAATATATACTCATCTCTTATCATTTATTACTAATCTTTCTAATGCCTGATATATGATTCTGCTGCTTAATCACGAGTACAGGAAAGTTATTATGTGGAATCCACTGAAGATAACGATCTTTGTAAAATATGAAGAACGAATCTTTCAACAATTAGAATTTGATCACTGACAATAAATTATCGAACTCTCAAATCTACAACTACTCAAAACTATATACTTGTATTTCTATTGAAGTATCTGTCTTCACTAAATAAAATGTAAAATGTATGTTGTTACTATTCATACTTTACAACTTGCCATGCAATACGATATATCGAAACTAATTATCAACAACAAAATTCAAAGAACTATTTATCACACAATTCTACACAAAACTTTAATACAACCTATACCATCATACCTTTTAACAGTGAATTACTTATTGTGAAAACATTAATTCTTATTAATGCATATTGACTACACTTTAACGAGATATTTGTAGCCCAAACTAATCACCAGAGGGCCGTAAACGATTACTAGATAGGAACACTTTTGAAAAATTTTCGAATTAGGCTGCAATTTCTCGCCCATTTATGATTCTTTTACAGTTATTTCTGCTAGAATTGCTTAAAACAGTGTGGTCAGATTTGGCATAATTGAGTACATCGATGACGACACTAGTAACGACAAATTTAGCACCTAACGGAGTTGTGGCTGTGTGGTGTAGGCCGTGTAGGTACTATACTACTGTACTGTGGACTGTGGGTCGTGGGTAGCCACACTGTTGGGCAGTGTGGCCACCTGAATACGTGATATTGAATGAAGTTTGGAAAGGAATCGAATGGCGCGTATCATGGTTATAGATGTAGATACTAATTTATATGCATATAGAGTAATGGATTCAATTAAATTATTGGTATGTACACGGTAGATTAAATTTTTAAATGATATACGAGAAGTTCGAAAAATTAAGAAAAAAAAAAAAATGATCTGTAGTACTAACTTTTAGGTTAAAGTAAACGAATATTATTGTGAAACAAATACACATTGATAAAAGGTGGTCGTGTCTACTAAGTAGAATCACGTGTTCCAGGAAAAGAAAGGAAGAATTTAAAAATGATCATACGCAAAAGAATCTGGCCTCGTACCTTAAGTGACTTTTTTTCAATGACTTTTATATTAACAATTGTGCCTCTATTATATTGGTTTGAATTGTGGGTTGTTTTGCCTACGATGTATGGATATGGAACATTATCACATATTTTACACTTTTTGTTTGGAAATTTTATTATGTTGAATATAGTCGGTAACTTCACGTACATAGTTTTCTGTGATACCAGCACCAGAAGAGATATTATGCCAATAAGTGTTGCGAATACTAAAGATGGTTGGAGACTGTGTGCTTCTTGCGAAACTCTTGCACCACCACGTTCATGGCACTGTCCAACATGTAACATTTGTATCTTAAAAAGGGATCATCATTGCATTTTCACTGGATGTTGTATCGGTCATTATAACCATCGATACTTCATCATGTTTTTATTGTACTTATTTGTAGCAGCAACATATTGTTTTTGTTATAACAATATTTTTATTTGGAATAGGATTCGTTTTGAGTTTCCTATATCGATTATAAAAATTATTTTTCCATTAGCAATATTTGTTTTTGGATTTGATGGATCTATAAATCAATTTTATTTACTTCTGTACATTGTGTCTGCAATAGGAATGTTATATACCGGAGTTTTGTGCATTTATCACTTTTGTCTAATATTTAATGGTAATGTGGCTAATGAAAGTAATAAAAAGATCTATGTATATAATTTAGGGTGGAAACAAAATATAAAGGAGGTATTAGGCGATCGATGGTATCTTACATGGGTAATTCCATATATAATATCTGAATTACCACATAATGGTGTAATATGGGACACATCAAGTTCGTGGCAATATTCAAACTCTAAAAATAAATAAGTATCAATTGTGTAATTTTGTATAAAAACGTATGCCAAAATGAGCTACATAGATAAATTATGTAATCAACAAATTGTGTTTTAAATATAAAAATGTGGAATAAAATAAGTTATAATGTTTAGAATTGCATTAAAACGTATGTATTATTTTTTAAACTTATTAATCTTTATTATGTATCTACGTTTCAACATATAATGTTGAAAGAAAAAAAGATATAAATCATTTTTTATAATTACACTATGAATCGTTATTATTTACAAAAATGTAAATTTAAATATGTGTACATTAATTAATCCATATTTATTTCTTCTTTTTATCAACCAACTTATGTAAATAGCAATGAATATACTTTAGCAGAGAATAGTGGAAGAATTTGATTTCAATATTTACATGTAAAAATTTGGAAATATTTATGCAGAAGTTTCTATTCATACATACACTGAAAATTTTATAAACGAATGACATAGTATGATTGTACATTGGTAAGACTAGTTTAAAAGTATATATATATGTATTATTCAGTGATATATGGTTGAACTTCAATGTCTTCTATTACATATTCTTCACTTTAACACAATCATTTTAATAAATATACAATATCTGTATCGAACTTTAAAACCTTCTATTTGCGATTAAATAATAAACTATTGTAAAAAAGTTACATTGCAACAAAAGAGATAATACCATTAGAAAATTTTATGTTAAACTTACAGTTATCACAATATTCACTGGAATATAATAATTTCAAATATATAATATTTGTATCAAACAAGAATAAATACACTATTATGACTTTATGTGTAAAAATTTTAGTCAACATCATTCAAAACGCAATTAAAATTTCGAGCCATGAACACTGTATTTCCTTAAAAGAAATAATATTGTGAAGAAAGAGAATAAAATATGTACATACAATACATGTATAAACAGTTATATTTTAATAATTTTAATGAATAAAAATAAAAGTCATACTTTGCCAAGTAAGTTAACATATGCTCTTTTCCTATAAGTCCTTTTCACTGCAAACTTTACACAGACTAATATAAGTATGACAGCAGATGCAACGTACAACACAACACAAATACTTATATCAAAAATTGTAAAATCCCACCCAAGCTTTTTAGTACTTGGGTATTTATTAAATACAAGTCTTTCCTGTCTTATTTTCATTTTGTCACCATTATCTTTAAGCTTGTTGGTTGAACCGTAATAATTGATTCCTTTATAGCTATACTTTGTTTTGAGATAATATAAAACGTTTTCTTCTTTCCAAGTATTATTTTCATATCTGCAAATTGGACAGTGTTTCGCTGCTGGATATTGAATCTTCTTATGTTTAGGATCTTCTGTATCATCGTTTGACAATCTTGCATTGACTTCATTATGAGCTGACCACAACCATAGAACACTCTCATTAATATTGGACACATCAAACATTTTATTTTTTGCAGCCATTTGTACAAAATGTTCAGCGCAATCGGCACACCCAAAAAAATGTTTTATGTATCCATGCATTGCCTCTAATATCTTTTTCGGTTCACGTTCAGTATTTTTGTGTTCAATAGCAAAATTAACTGTTAACATATGAAACATTGTCCAAAGACCGCAAGAATATCCACGGTATCCTTCTTTGCTTCCTTTACACCCAATCCATTGTGGGGGTCCCGAATATATAGGTGATATTTCTTCTTCTGTGGATTTAACTATGTGACTAAATTCCTCTCCAGATATATTGGTCCTTTTTTTAATAATATCGCGAATAGTTTCTAAAAAGATATTACTATGCCTTAAAGGAAAATATTCAGCTAATACATTCAGGTACTTTTTTAATGCATTCATCTTTTCTTCTTTTATTATTTTATGTAGTGGAATTTCATGACTGATCGAGTATCTCAAAGTATTCTCTAAATCTAGCTGATACAAATGATCACCAGTTATTTCTGTTTCTTGAGGCTGTTTTGGAGTACTAATACTCAATTTATGATTTACAGTTTCTATCGAACGATTTTTCATAAGGACTTGTTCATTGATATGTTCTCCTTTTGAAATCATGAATTCTTTAATAGTATTATAGGCGCCTTCTCTCGTCGGTACTTTGATTTTAAGAGATTTTTGTGTGTCATTACGACTGAAAACTATCAAACTTGGAAAATTGGTAATTTTATTTGTCTCGCACAATAACTCATTATCGGATGTTACCCTCCTTATTTGTAATATTGTGATCTTGTACATATCTAATATAACTTCTGCACCTAAATGTGAGTCTGTTTTTTCAAACAATAGAAAGAAGTATTTTACAGTACTTGGTACAGCTTTCCAAATATTTGTGGTTTCATAATTTCTGTAATATTCAACAAAAATCTAATTACAGTTTGGGGAATTTACAGAAAAGGTCTCCTCTAATATATTTTAATCTGACTTTTTTTAATCTATGGAGAGGTACTTTTTTGGCAAGTCCATCTATTTTTTATTTGTAAAAATACAAATATGTGTTAAAAAAATATATATATTTATGTACCTATATGGCGTGATATTAGGCCACGAAGTGCCACGTCCTTCTTGCTGTTCCTTTTCTAATAAATCGATTAAATTATTTCTGAGCTCGGTAACAGTTTCAGATTTTTCCATCAATAATCCTAATGACGATGGATGCGCATTTACAGAAAAATATTTGAGCATAGGATAATTCATAATTTCATATTCACGACAAATAGGATTATTGTCATCATTTGCACAATCTATCGCAGCAACTACTACAATATCTCTCCATGCTAAAAAGAAATATTTAAATAAATTACTTGTAAAGGATGTTTAATAGTATACACTTATATATATATATTTGAAAAGATATTTGCTTCAAAAATTTGTCCTGATGTTAAAAAAAAAAATTGATGATGTTAAAACATATTTTAAATTAAATTAAATCGTACAAAATATATAAATATCTTATATCATAACTATTGACTATTTAAAAATTATTTGTTTCAGCTTTTTAAAGAAAATGTTTAAAATTATTTATATTAATCAATAAACATAAATTCATAATTAAATTAAAACATAAATAACCTTTTGCAGTAATTTCTACATATGATGTATATTGTTTTGAAGTACTTGATATTGTACTTGTTGCAATTTCATGCTTTCAAACAATTATAATATTTACCGTGAACATCGCTAGCGAAAGCTTTCCACAAAGGTGCAAATCGGAAACAAAAGCCGCACCAACTATTATAAAATTCGACTAACCATCCTTTAGTATTTCCGTAGACAGATGACTTAAAGTTAGTGACATTTAGGATAATTACATTATCACTGGCATTGTATAATCCGTGTGTAGGTATTTGACTCTCGTATGAATCTTTTGGCGCAGCAGCGTTACAATTTACTGTTATTATACTGATTAAATACAGTTTTAACAATAAGTCGACATCAAAGTGTTCCATGTTTTCTTCAGTTTCTTATCTCAATCAGTCTTTATTGGCCTCCATATCACACATACAATGTTATAACAACAATTATAACCAGGGTTGCCAAATTGAACTCTTAGTTTTAAGTCGAACAATTCAAAAACAAAACACTAGAGACAAGCAAAACCATAGGCTAGATATAGAGAGCATGAATTGAACATACATAGGTCGGCATATTAATTGCATATATTAGTTGCTTTAACTGAAGCGGTAAATTTAAACATAACCTGAAACTTATTTAAGAAAATAAGCTACATAAAATATGTAAAAACAATCGATAACAAAGAGAAATAAAGTGAAAGTGAATATTCTGTACTAAAATGTATTTTTCATAATTGTATTATAAAAAAAGACCGAAGTTCAAGTTCTTTTTACTGAAGAATCACTCGAATGCCTGTAAACATTTTCGCTTCCTAAGTTATTAAGCATCTCCGTAGATATGTTAATATTTTCATAACTTTTATTTGTAGGTAATAATTCTGTTCTAAATCTAACAATGACATTCAGAAGTTACAACCACAGACGAGGTATACCTTACAACTTGTACATATGTATACATATTCTTTTGTTTTCTGCGTTTACACTCTACGACATCTAGTGGTTCAAGTTTTTAAAAAGTATATATAGTCGTAATAGAGGCAGATTTCTCCATTATCATCCGTTTCAAATTTGCTCATGCAAATTGCGATAAACTGGCAACCCACGAATCAATTATGGTTACTTTTCCTACTTTTCCATACAAACTATGCGTATTCTGCAAAGTTGGGACGAAAGTACGGTTCGGCTCGCTAGGCACGTATACCCATTTTACTACATAAGAATTGCGCTTGTGATCATCATTTTAAAATCATTAAAAATTTCCATTTTTTCAGCACTCATTTTAAAATTGTTTTTTTAATGTATCTAAATAAGATCAGTATCATCCACAGTATCATCGATAAACATTAAATTTCAAATTCTAGATTTTGATATATAGCTTTGAACTATTTGGGATCTGTCACAAAATTTTACTATTGGTTGAAGATTTTTAATATCTATTGTCATAATTAGTCTCATCCAGATAACTTTTATTCGAAAGATATTAAATTTTGATTCGTCTGTAAAAATTAAATTACTCCAAGAAGTAGTTTTTTTTATATATCTTATTAGTATAAAATTTAGATTTTGATAAATATTTTAGATGTATTTCTTTTGATATATTTTAAGAGTGTACGGAATAAAAATTACATCTAGATTAACAGAAGGTCGTGTACTCGATGGTAAATTTTAAATTTTATTATTCAATTTTTGAAGGTTTCGTAAAGATAAATTCTAGATAATTACCCATTTATATTAAAAACACTATTTATTAGCTGTTTCAATATGAATAGCCGCTGCTTATTCCTATACAAAATGAAAACAATAGGACATCACCCTTAAGGATAATAGGAGGTTTTAGGATGGTGGAGGGAATGGGGACGAAGGTACGTCGTACGTTTATTTATTTTATAAACACCTAATTACGGATATACCATGTAACCAAACCAACTGATAAAGAATATGATCGGTATAAACCTTGGAGCACCTTATGCTCTTCCCTACTTATAAAAGATTTCGATGCTTCTTGAACTTTTTCTGAAACGTTCGGCCAGTTTCACCCCCAACCACTGGCTTGTCCAGGTCGGGGGCCTGACGATCAACGATTTCTTACTGTCTTGAGGCTTGCTTTTTATAGAGTGCTTGCAGTTCTTCTAGGCTTGAGACTTCTCAGCCGGAAATGAATGCGATTCGGATCATATTCTTTGTCACAAGCGCGAAAAACCTTCAGATCTTCGAAATTCGAGCAAGACAAACATCTTCAGATATCTTGTCTTCGACTTTTCAAAACTTTCATTTTTTCAGAGTGAAACTTCAAACTTCCCTCTATCATCCAATACCTCTTGATTCAAAACCTTATAAACAAACAAACAGGTTAGAGAACTTACTTCTATTTTTAATTTTATTTTTGTTTTATATCGTTCTTTTCTGTGTGTAATGTGTATCGTTTTCCTTTCTTTTTTCATATATAAACATTTAGGAATACCACATTTTCCAGATTCATACCACTTTTTACCAGTGATAATTAATGTCCAAACGGCTGGAATACAACTTTCAAGCAAATAATTAAATTGTCAAAGGAAAATAGAAACTCAATTATATTCCAACCTTCACATTATAGTCATTATTGTTACAATAACGTAAACCTTATCTTCATAAAGTTGTTAGGAAGCAATAGAAACGTTATGAAAATAAGATTTTTCGTGTCCATTCTAACCTTACTGTTTCATGCAAAGAATATGCTACACTCCTTTGCATATTAAGTTATCTCATTAATTGATATTGTACAATATCGTAATTTAAATGCTGTATATTTAATTGCATATGATGCAGAATTATGTAAGGTAAGAATAGTAGTGAGAATGTAGCGTTTGCATTTTTTGACCCGGTACAGTATTGTTAGAAGAAATTTGAGGTCAAAGGGTCAAGTCACACAAATGGTCTCCCAAACACCTGGCCTCTCGCATCACACTCGTGTCACTTAATACCGACCTGAAATTCATTAAGCAACAAAAACTATGATTGTTTGACCCAGGTTACGGGTTACACTTAGTTACTACCGTACGATTTTTATTGGATGCATTCCTTGATGCTCCTGTCTTCCATTCTTGCTAATTTAACTACTTATTTGTACTTAAGCATCTTGTTTTAACTAAATATAAGCGGTCTACGAAAATATGAATCCAAATTAACAATTTCTGTTATAAATGACCAAGTTTATTGCAAACGTTAAAATCACTGTAATTTGAATTCACAAAAATACCACTTCATATTATTTACTGTACATGTTGTACATAAATAACGTAGTATTTAATGTCTCCTTTTTATTATTCTTTATTTGATAAATAAAATAAATTTAGCATTTTGTTTGTTGTTAATAGACAACTAAATATCTGAGTAATTTATTTTCTTAATTGCTAATATGTATTGCACTCGCGTATAGTTAAATATATAGTTCTTTTTATGTGAAAATTGGTTTTATTGTATTTCAAAACATACAATTTATTATTTAACGAACTTTTAGTTTTGCATAGAATACCCTCTTTTCCAATTACTTCTCTAAATCGAGATTTTACTGTAGTATTTATGTTTTTATACAATTTCACGAACATCTTTTTTATTCAATTACAAAAATTCCTGTTTTTAAAAACAACTGAATACAATATACTTGTATGGAAAATTAAAGCATGCGTAACAATTGAAGATATATGTATTACACACTTTGTGCGTTTAAATCATTTTAAAAGCAACAACTATTCTGTCATTTGATATTAAAATAAATTTAAATGATGACAGCAGTATGCAAAATTTATAGTTCCATACGTATAAACATATTTTAATATTATTATAAATCTTTAAGATTCTATTGAAAACATTCAATTTCATGTTAGAGGTGTATTATTAAATAAAGTAATTTAAAAACGAAACTTTTCTATACAAGTCAAAAATATTAATATACTTCAATGTTGATACAGTAAGATTTGTCGAATTATACAATATCAAATCAATGAGTACCTGGTTCTGTATTTTCCTAAATGTGGACATTCAGTGAATTACATATCATGTAATATAAATCTTACTTCAAAGGAGACACATATCCATGTAGACTGCTTATATTAAAATATGACGTAAAAGAATAAAAAGTGAACTTACGTGGTGAATAGGAGCGTGATCTAGATCTGTCGTACCGTGAACGTCTGCGACTGTAGTATGGACTGGGTGAACGCCGATAGCTTCCTCTGTAACTGCTTCTTTTCCAGAATAAACAAATTTTGAGTGTGGTGCTTAGTAGTTTATGGATTACTGTATTGTACACAACAGAAACAAACTATACTCACTCTCTACGTCTAGGTCCATCCCATCCTCTGTCATGTAGGTGCGTAGGTTTTCCCATGTAAATTCCGGGAGTAGGTGTATGAGCTCGCTGTGTGATTGAAAAATCCACCCTTATTCTTCGGCCATCAATTTCCATTCCTGTGCATTGTTCTTTTGCTACTTTAGCGTCTTCGGATGATTCAAAATATACAAAGCAAAACCCTCTAGAACGTCCAGTCTGAAACATGAATTTTTATGTTATCCCGTTTATATATAAATACATGTTAATTCATAATATAATTTTAATAAATATTATTTCATTCTTTGCATTGAGAAAAATGAAATAAATATGTGATCAGAGGCCTTTAACAGTTCATACAAACTTAATGAATGAACGTTCTAAATCTCTGACCCAATTTACTATTCCCCATTTCGAAGTAATAATTAAGGGGTTATCACCGGTTAATATTAACTTTCTTTTATTAGAAAAATTTAACTAACATGTATATATTTAGTATATGTACGATCAAAGTAAGTTTACGTACAGATATTATATTTAAGTTTATAATATATCGATATTTAAATACCTTTGCATCGATTACAACTTGTACACGTTCAACAGGTCCATATTTGGAAAAGATATGATGAATTTGTTGCTCGGTTGTAAAAATAGAAAGTCCAAATACACCTAAGCATCGAGAAGGACAGGGATTGTCCCTGTTACCAACGTGACGTCGTCTAGACGACATTGGACTGCGAGAGTGTGAACGATAGATGTTCCTGTCACGTTCACGAGAATAACGAGAGCGTGAGTATGATCGAGATCGGCTTCGAGAATACCGCCCACCCCTGTAAGGAGAACGACTACGACTGCGACTACTACCACGATGACCTGCACTGGCATACTTGTTGCTGCGATATGATTTTCTTCCTCTTGATACAGAACGGCTACGTGATCTTGAATACTCTTTCACCGGTCTATGGGATTCTTTACGTTCACGCGATTTGCGTGATCTTGAGTGTGAACGTGAATCTCTCAAGCCTCCATCTGCCGTTCTTGGTCGTCTGGGACTTGCACTATGACTACCACTTCGCTGAAAAGAAACTTATTGTAAATATTTGGAGAACTTCTATTTTAATTTATAATTTAATACGAACTGATATATTTGGTTTGTGTTTTGAATCATTTCACACACAATATATAGATAGAAAAAATAGATTTCGATTATACCAATATATGTGCATGCAAAGATTTAAAAAACTTTTACAAGTGCGACAATTTACTTATAAGCTTAACCTTTCTATTGATAATAAAGATATTATATTTACAATAACTAATATACCTTGGACAAATTAAACATTAGCAATGGCTCTTGGACTAATTTCGCATTTAATTTTACATTAAGAAAAGACAAAACATCATTAAAATCGTAATACACGCTTAAAATATAGTTGAACGTTGATGGATCGATAATGGCTGTAGTCAGCCGCATGCCGTTACGAACGTAATGCTTATAAAATTCTAATAAAATGCTATTTTTAAAAAGAAGTAAAGGAATTACCTCCATGTCACTCATTGTGGAACTTCAAATACGAATAAATGTGGTAGAAAGTACTGCAAATTGACGAAAACGTTCGGTATAAAACACCGTAGCGTCAGTGCGTAATAATGGCGTACAATCTTTGTGCCGTTTCAGCGGGCAACAACCGGAAATGATTCCAAGTGGTATACAAATGCGAAATACCCCAACATCCGCTGTTGCCAAGAAACAATTGTTAAAATTGAAAATGGCGATGAATTCTAAAAATGGCGCCAATTTTAATAAACAACAATATTAGAAATCGTTGAGTACCATTGAAGTTTTAACTTTTAATTTATTGAATAAAATTTATTACATGTATAAATTATTACTTATAAAAGGACAATCTAGATTTTATTTTTCTATTATGTGACTTGTACCAAGATGTATTCGTAGAAAAACACAATACAAGGGGAAATTAAATCACTTTACATATGCATAAGCTTAAAAGAAAATAGCTGTTTGTATTTATCAAGAATAAGCAAAATTAAAATTTATGGTAATCTTTCAATTTTGTACAATGTACAAATTTTGTGAAAAATTTTTAGTATAACAGAACGAGAATACGTTTCCATAAAACCGCCGGTGATGCATTGCGCAGAAAGATGCGCGTGCTTTTGCGTCTCGAAAAACTGCTCACAATCGCATACTGCGGCAGAGACAGAAACGAGGAAGATTCTCCGGTAGTCAGCAAACCATTTTTCTGTCGTCAAACGGATCAAGCTTTTTGTGAGACTTGGATCGGTCACAAAAAGCGGGATTCGCTTTTCGCATAGGAATTGGCCTGTTAAGGAGCCAGCTTATTCACATAGAACATTTGAAAATTGTAAGTAAAGGTAGTGACTTTTTTGATTTCATATAGCGGACGATACTGTGACCGGTTGGTCTGTGCACTAGTCTCATTATCATCGTTTTAAATAGAACCTTGTAAACGATGAAAGACGTCACTGTCTTTGTTCTTGTTTTGATAATAATAAGACTTAACCTTTATATTTTATTCCTATATTTTCTATGCTCCACATACTAAAATTAATCAATGAATTTTATAACAATCATGGCTGCCAGCCGGTTTTCCTACAATTTTATACTGCGTAGACCTTGTACTCGTCAATAACTGATTGATCAAAATTGCAACAACTTTATTATTATTATTATCGGACTTTTATGATTTTACAACTTGGCTTAACTCTTTAGTATTTTTTATTTCGTTAATCGCGAAAACTTCATAAATGATGAATTGATGAAATATACAGGGTGAATCACGCGAATGGGACGGGTTATATGTATCTCAAATCTGTTTTAAAATAATAAAAAAAAATATAGAGGGAAAAATTGAACGATACAGCAATGTTTGTTCTCCGACGACTTCACTTTTTTTTTATAAGCGCAACAATGTATCTGAAAATTGCAAATGTATTTTTTTTTAATAGAATTATATACTTTTTTTTATTTATTAGATATCACATTTTTGATAATTTGAATTTTAACTTCCCATGAAGATAAACTGTCAGTAACTAAGTGAATTTTGTTAATCGGTAGAGTTTCTGCCCTCAAAACATTGACTATTGTTAATCACTGATATTCTTATGTTCGGAAGCATTTATAATTAATATATGAAATATCTTTTATAAAACATGATTTGTCATAAACATGAGACATTTCACAAAACATTGAATTTTTAAATATTGTACCCTAATACTTTTTTATGCAGATGTTCCAAAGAATTCACATAAGCAAGAAAACTATACGATTCTAATAAAAAAAAAGTGCATTTGAAATTTTCAGATGTATTGTTACCCTTATAAAAAAAAAAGTGAAGTCGTAGTAGATTAGATATTACTGTATCGTTTAACTTTGCCCTTCGCAGTTTCTTTTACCAAATTTTAGATATAACAGTCACAATTTACATGTCTCATCCTATGTATCTACTTAGTAGCAGTATTTGATAAATTGTTAAAAATTTTATTTATTTGCAGTTTGTACAGTATTAAAGTATCATTTTATGTATTCAATTTTTCTATGATAATCAATTAACTATCAATTGTAGTATATTGTACATAAATATTAAAATATGACCAAATCTTATTTATAAATTTCTAAATATAATTTTTGAGAGCATTAAATAGGCTTTGAGTAAAATAACATTATTTTCATCTATAGGATATAAAAATGGAGGAAATGCATCAACCACAACAGGTTGGGCCTAATATGATGGCCAGTGTAGGTGGGGTTCCTAGCCATTCGAATAATGTTAACCGGCGTAGCAAAGTTCGATTATCATTACACAGTTTGATGGTAGAAAAACTTCCGTTAAGCGAAGCTGCTCAATTGGAGATGAAATCGTTATCCAACAAAACACCAGTTTCGATTCTTCAGGAACTGCTTTCTCGTAGGAACGCAACACCAACATATGAATTAATACAAGTAGAGGGTGCTGTCCATGAGCCTATTTTTCGTTATCGAGTCACTGTTGCTGATATTGTTGGTTTGTACCTAATTTTGGCAAAGTATTAATTATTAGTTCCCTTAAATTATTAAAATAAAAATTTACACTTTGGCACTATAATGTGGATTTATCCATTAATCAAATTTAAACAAAATATAATTTTGAATTGAATATGCATTTTTAAAAGAAGTTATTTGTTTTTCCATTTAAATTTTTGTTACTTACAGTGATTACTTATTTTTTTTATCATTGAATTCAAATGGTAAATAATAAGTATTTGGCGATTGAAGCAGATCCAATTGTTTCAGCAGTGGGGACCGGAAAATCAAAGAAAGAGGCAAAGCATGCTGCTGCTCGAGCTGTATTGGATAAGTTGTGTAGATTGAATAGCGAAAGTCCAGACTCCCCACTTCCAAATAATATACCAGAGTAAGAATGCCAAGTACACATATCATCTAATTAATTTTCTGTTTGATAAAAATTTTATATAATTTATTTCTCGCAGTTCAGAAAATTTACAAGAATTACCAGGTTTTGGAGAACAAAAAATAATCACAAATCCAATTGGTTCGTTGCAAGAAATGTGTATGTCACGTCACTGGCCTCCGCCAAAATATACAATGAAAAATGCGGAGGGTCTGCCACACGAAAGACAGTTTACTATTGTTTGTTCTATTTCAAAATATTGCGAAGTTGGTCAAGGAAAAAGTAAGAAAGTTGCTAAAAGGCATGCAGCTCACAAAATGTGGCAAGCTCTACATGACATGAATATTGAAAATTCTGATATAGACGAGGATGAGGTAAGAATGTATTTTTTACCAGCATTAAATTTAATGTATTAAATATTTTAAATAATTTTAAATTGAATACGAATGCTTATTTTGATATGGTCATAATTTTTTCTGTTTTGTGTAAATGAGGATATTCAAGTTTTTATTTCATTTATGCATTTTTCTGTTTTCACTTTATATATTTTAAAATGATACACGATACATGATATATCACAATTAATACTCATTACATAACTTGCTTTTGTGTACTTGTATGTGTACAGTTTTTGTGTATGTGTGTGTATGCTTAGTGAAGTGGAAGTGATTTGGCACTGCAAGCAGTATTATGAGGTATAAGCTACCTTTCTGATCACCCTTAATCTATAACGGATAATTTTCAAGATTATAATATCAGTAATATATATGTGTTATACGTAGTTATATTAAAAATCATTTACAAACCAGCATATGTTTTAAACAATAAACACGCTTGGATCATTTCCACTTCATTTTACTCGTAATGTAAGTGCAGTCATTGGGGATCTGTCTCCAATGATTAGCATATAATTAAATTTTTTACGTATATTAATTGTCCGTTATAGGTTTTACAAAGGCATACAAACCTGAGTGCCCGTTACGCTGATCTGAAAGGTAGCACGATATCAACACTAACAACTATACATAGTCTTAAAGTTTCACAATTTCATAAAAGTATGAAGTCGTCAACTGGTGTTAAGCTATTTGAACTACAGGTTCGTAATATAATTAAGTGAAAACAAGTAAATTTTTTGATCGATTTAAGACGTTTTAATGATAAAATAATTGTTTGATTGAATTTTGTAACTTTATTAACTTTCGCGTTATTATCTATTTCTGTTACAGAATACATGTTTAAATGTTGATGATATAAATTTGGTGCAATTTTTACAAGAGATTGCTTCAGAGCAGCAATTTGAAATAACGTACGTTGATATTGAAGAAAAATCCATCAGTGGTAAGTCATTATTATATTATATTATATTAACTTGGTAACTAGTATATTTCACTGTTTAATTTATTATTTACTGAAAAGAAACGTTGAAGTCAAAAAACTTGATTTTATTTTTCTGTAAGTACACGATCCATAAATACATCATTTTCTGATGTGGGTATATCTTCCTGTATTTGTTCATTAAATGCCACTGCAATTAAGTGTGGTTTTTTTTGTTGTTTCCTCGAATAAAAATTCAAAAATTTATCATAATAACCCATTCCATGTCCTAAGCGCTTTCCTGATAGGCAATGTATAAACGTTAATTATTATGAAATAATACATTTTTTTCCTGAATAATTAGTTCAAAATTGAAGTTATCTTACCATCCATATTAAATGCAACGCCTGGTAAAATTATTAAATCCAAACCACCTGTGATAAAACACGTGTTATTTTTCATTTAGAGATTGGAACAGTTATAGAACTTTATCTCAATATGTTCTGTTAAAACAGTTAATATGGAATATTTATAATAAAAGTTCTTGTGAGAACAGAGAAATAACAATTCTTAAAAATAAAGGTCTTGATAAGAACAGATGCATTGAAGTTCTAGTTTGAATAAAATTTATAAGAAAACAATGTAAAAGTTAATGAACAGAGGTTTATATATTTAACAAGTTATTTAACAATTTTTAATACGTTTCAATAAATGCTGATAAATATAATAAATTTTGCCAAATTCTAATAATATATATATGTATATGTATACATTTATATGCTACTAACTTAAATTTATTTAAAACGTATAAACATTTGTTCGTTAATATTTTATTTAATTTCTTATAAATTTGATTCAAACTAGAACTTGCTGCTAGAAAAAGAGTAGCAAATCCAATAATTAAAAACACAATAATCATTTAGGATAAAACATATCTTTAAATTAATTATATAGAGACTTGCCAGTTTCTAATACATTTTCTCTAGGTTCATCAAAATTTGGTTGCTTAATGTTCCACTTAGTTAATGGTAATTTTTCATAATCTTCCATTGAAAGTAGTTTAACCATTTCCATTTGTTTATTCCTGTATCTAGGAATAAATACCTCTTTTTGTTTTTCAAACAGATGTTTTAATATTGGTATTGTATCAATTTCATTTTCTGTACTTAAATATAATGAAATCCTTTGACTTGTTTGAAATTCTGCTAACGCACATAGCTATACATGAAAAAATATATTTTTTTAACGAAAATTGATTTCATTTTAGGAATAGAGGTTTGACATAACCTCTTCTATTCTAATTATGGTAAATTAGTTATTTCTGTGTATACTTACTTTTTGAAACACATTCTTTGATTGCCTCTGTTTCTCTTCAGAACTAAGTTGTGCAATAACATTATTCATCTTTTTACGTAAAAGATGTTTGGCAGCTTTAATTCCACACATGATTCTTGTATCTTGTTAGTATTCCTTCTGAATCTTTCCTAACTAGAAGAAAAAAATCAATATTATATGCTTATATAAGAAGACGAAACATGTTTGCTTTCAATACTTAACGAATGAATGAAATGTATGACCTTATGACACAGTTATCACAAAATATTGAAATATCTAAGTAGTATACATGTAATATACATTTGGCATGAAATAATTTCTAAACATTCTCTCACACTATTTTCGTTATAATAATTTCTTTCATTTTTTATGGTATTTTGATCGTGTTTGTAGTCTTTAACGTTATATTCAATATTGGAAGGTAGGATTTCATTATATTTTGGTGTTCAGTTGACATGACTTTAAATTATTACTATAGTATAGATATATGTATAGGGCGAGATACATACTTACAAGCCACCTAAATAACTCGTTTATTTTTTTTTTTTTTTTTAATTGGCGTATATATTGTTTCTAAATTTTGTATAAACAAATAATTAACTTGTTCAATTTTCAAAAAATTTATTGGTACTGTACGGGTTCGTGAGTAACGCATAAATTGTTTATACATTTGTTATAAAGAAATAATTAAACAAATAATAAATATTTAATGGGTTGCTCATAAATCTGTAGAGTATTAATGAATATTTTGAAAAATTATGAAGTTAAGTCTTGATGCTAATTTACACTTTCGCATAATGAGCAACTTTAGTTGAAACTAAATGCATAAAAACAATTGTTGTAACGTGACTTACGAGCACCAATTTAATCCTGTGAATTTAACGTGATTTTTCCCGATAAATTACTACCGAGAGGAAATAGATTTTGATTTAGGTGACTATAGGTAGGTAAATAAAGTAGCTGTCGGATATCGTTTAATGAAAAGTTTCGTTGTGATTCGGTATCTATTCTTCAAAGGCTGTTGTATTTATGTCATAAATACACGATAATGTAAAATGACCTTGAATCACTTTTTAAAACTTTCGAGATATTTAGATATAAAGTTTTCAAATGAATTCCTTGTATATGTTTTGCAATAAGTATTCGGTGTGAGCGACAGCGTCCGGACGCTATCGGCGAGAGCCTTTTTTACATTGTTTATCTTTGACATTCTCTATTTTGTCATTGTACACTTTAATTTCTTATGACTGTAAAATTCTATGGACTGCGTGTTCGTGCGAAATAAAATTATTTTTCTGTATAAACAGGAAAACAGTAACATTGCATATTGTCCATATTGCCCAATTTGGAATGATCAAGAAATCTTTACGTATAAACGTACAGTTTTTGTACTGCAGTTCAATAGCATTCACGAATACAAATAAATATGAAATATACAGAGTGATCGATTACCATTGTACAATTCTAGTATTCAATCTATTTCAAGTCGACTATTTTAATTTGTAATTGACCTTCAGCAATGAGTGCTTTTCAATCGTAGATCTTTATACGCATCTTAAAATGCTTTATTAGAAGGTAAGTATAGAATATATCATTTCATTTAGAAGGACGAAGTTGAACTTGGTATCTGTTTCATATCTTCACCTATAAAAAACTACTGATATCAGATTAGATTATGCCCCCTTTGAAATCAAACAAGATTCGTTTGAAGCATTTTTCTCTGTAACCAAAAGTAAACAAGTTATTCAGGTGGTCTGTTTGTTTTAAGTCACTGTGTGCATGAAAATGACTGTTTCAGTAAGTAAGATCAATGTTTATTAAAATAAGGGACAATTTGATCATAAAATAGATTTATCAATTAAGAGAGTATTTTGTTAATTGTTACAGGTAAATACCAGTGCCTTGTGCAACTGTCCACTTTACCAGTGGCTGTTTGCTACGGTTGCGGTGTTACTAGTAAAATTGCTCAAGCTAGTGCTGCTCAAAACGCTCTGGAATATCTCAAAATCATGACCAAGAAGTGAGCCAGCGCTTTGCTCCTGCCAGCTGTCACTATCAATTGCAAATCCCACAACAATTTGCTGTCCATAAATCAAAATAACAACACAGATCCTACAATTTTGTCAGCGAACAATCAAGTGTTCGACAAGGGCAAAAGTGGTCAAAAAGTTGATCACGCGGGGAACAAAAGTAAACTATCGAAATTATCGGTCAGAGCAGTAAGTAGTACTGCCATAGGGAACAAAGATGACACTTTGAATATAATTACCACAACGTCGGGTGTCACAGTCTCTGCGAGCAGGATAAATCCATCTATAAAAAAGAATAGCGAAAACAACGAGAATTTAAAATCGAATGTACAACAATTAGTAAAGAATACATCGATTATAACTACAAACCAATCTGGTTCTAAATTTAGTAGCGTACGAGGTGTTGCTGCATCTTGTGTTAGTGGTAATGTTTCTCACGAGAATGTGTCCAAATCCAAAGATTATTCTGCTAAAAAGTTTCCCAGCGAGATTGATTCCAAAATGAAGAATTATCAAATGCAATCCGACTATAAAGAGACCACCTCTGTAAACAATCAAGATTACAAAACGAGGAATAGCACAGCTATGAACAATTTACCATCGAGGTTTGTCAATCAGTCGTCCGTTCAAGCATTGCACAGGGAGAATCATGCGAGCTCTTCTGGTGTACATCATTCTCGTCCAGCATCACGTAACGATAACACCGCCTTTTCTATAGCTAGAAAAGCTTTGGAGCAACAAAATCCGACGTCAAAAATGGCACCGATCAATTTTCCTCCGTTACGCGCCCCGCAGAGTATCGTGAACGTTCGTCACCCATTCGTAACGGAAGCGAGAATCAAACACAATGAGATAGGCGGTCCAAACTCTAAATCGAAATTAAACATGGGAAGTTCCCTGCAGACCAGTGTTAAAGATCTGGACCACAGTAGGCAAACTTTTCATAGTTACGGAACGTCGCAGATTGCTGGTATTCCAAACGTTCAAAGTTTGAGCAACGTCACGGCAAACATATCGCCTTATCCCAGACCAGATAGTTTTCCTCAACCGACCGTTGCAAGCGTGCTGTTCCCAGATACTTCGCAGTTCCCCCAATCACCGCCCTTCGGTACAACGCAAATTGGACAGCTGAACCAGTATCAGGCTTACGATCCTGGTAGTTTTGCGACTACACCAGTGAACGTAAATCCAGTAATTCCACAGTTCTCCGCAGAAAGTTCTATCCCGTATCCGCAGTACGACAATCCTCCTCAGTTCGTGCAACCTAATCATTATCCGACAGCGGATATAGCGAACAGTCAATATCAATTTCAGGCGGCGAGTGTGGGACAACTACAAGACTCACCGATGTTCATACAAAGTCTACAAAGTCCGATCGCTGTGACGGATCAGTATGTTGCACCGAATTACGCTAGAACGGTCAGGACCGAATTGGTGCCGCGATTGAGGAGGCCACCGAGATTCAACAAGTAAAAATGATTTTTTTTTAATATTCCTGAACAGAAATCTGTAGCCCTAAGTAAAAGAAGAGTAAAAGGGGAAGTAAAAAAGGAATACGATGAAGAATGTAGAACCGTATTCGACTTTTTAATCGAACAAAGGGCGTTTCTCGTGTATCTGCAAATTTGCCAATTTAGTTGAACTATTAATGTGTGGAAGATGTGGTAAAAGTTATTTCAATTTCTGATCCATTTTGAAATAAATTTTAACCAGTCTGCATGGTCGATGTAGTAGTATGCATTGTGAAGCGGTAATTGTTATTTCTTTTGGCAAAATTTGCGCGGATGCACATTTTTAGATTGCATTAGCCGTTTGAAAATTCTGTCTAAAATGGTTTTATACGGACACACATGTACAGAAAAGAAACACATACATGAAAGTAAAAAAAAAAAAAAATTAAAAAATAAAACAGAAAAAGGAAAAAAATAATCATTTTGACTTTTTTCCATCATTTGATGTGACATGGCAGAGCATAGTAAGTTGAGCTCGATTACGATCCTATGACGGAATTTATCGTGGAAACCCGAGAAATAAAAAGAGGCGGTTGCATACAGTTCGTTAAATTGTATATAAATTATGACTACTCCTAAGAATAGTCACATTTCTATAAATATAATATTGCGAAATCCTTCTAAGCGACAAATTTGTTTTTGTCGTGGCCGACCAGTGAATGGAAATTTGTTAAGTGGAACAAAGCCCCACAGTCACATTACACGTAAAACTAAAAAAAGAAGAATCCATGAATTGTGAAATAACAAGAAGGAAAACAAAGCAACTGGATTATAATTATAATATAAGTTCTAGTTTTAATGAATGGTATTCTACAAGCTATACTTTGCATAGAATTAGTGGAGGTTTTCCAATATTTGCATATTACTTAGCTTATCGCTATGTTTTTAATGTGCTTTACTATCTATAGATGGGATGGCGGTGTAACGATGTTCATTGCAATAAGACGTGCACCAAAAAGAATTCGACCTATGGTAGAAAGGAAATGCGTGTATCATTTTTAAAATTAAAAACAACAAGAGAAAAAGCCATAGAAATAAAAAAGGGAGGAAAATATCAGTCCCTTCGGCATCTTTGCTTAATTTGAACATCGTCTCTCCACCGAACGTATGTACAGTGCAAACGTAGCTTTCGACGATCCGAGTATAATAAAGGCGATCGCAAAGAAATAACGATATAATCTTTCAGTGGTGAATGTTTTTGCTTTAGTATAGTAGCTCATAAACTCATAAGCATCATATATTAATACGCGTAAGGTTAATCGTTAAGGATTCCTTATTAAGTACACATCTTGTATAACCAAGTATGTATAATACTCGTGTGTATTGAATTTTGAATTGCCTGCGTGTGTCGATCTCACCGGATGAGACATTAATACTAAATGAAAAAGAATAACATTGTATGGTCACGTGGCGTCGAGAGGATACAAATGGAAACAGGGAGGAAAGTGGATGCGTTGCGCGACAGTGTACTTCAGCCCGTGGATCACTACCATCATTTGTAGATACAATGGATAACGGAGAAATTGAGAGAAAAAAAAGAAGAAGGAACGATATTACTGAACGGAGGTTCGATTTACATCGAATAATATATACTGCGTTCGTTACAGCAAACTCTGATTTTTCTCCTGCATCCGATTACTATTCACGCATAACTGGAATCCGTGTGTGCATACGTGATTTCATCAGACGACGATTCTTCTCGTACTACAAAAAAGCGTCTTGCTCATCAGTGATTCTACAAACGTTACAAATACATGTATTTTATTTGTTTTTTTCCAAATTCATATCCACGTACAGTTTGAACAAACTCGCCCGCTTATTGACGCTTCTCCTTTTGAATTATTAAAGTTGCTAATCGATGGATACATTATTGCGTGTCACAAACGGAGGGATGGATAACTGATCCAGAGTCAAATAGTGTGCCAGTTAATGAAAACTGAACGTATGATGCAAATGAAAAAACTTGAGACGCAAAAGTTTCATGTTTATGAAATGGTGTATGCATACCGCATTAATCGTTGACTCGATAGCGATGCAATAATGTGGCGATGGATTATGCAGGCGTAATTTCGATACGTTTGACGCGCGTCCAACTTACACCGATAGTACAAAAAGTTCTTCAGTAAAGCAAATCGAATGTGCGAGCCAAGATATCGCGGAATCGCGTTGAACGAATGGAAAGAATACATGTGTTTGCGCGCGCGCGCCTCTGTGTATGTGTGCGTGTGTGCGTGTGTGCGTGTGCGCGTGTGTGTGTGTGTGTGGTGTCAAATGACTGATACGACTCGTCACGAGTATCTGGAGGATGATGAGGAAACGATAAAACTATCCAAAGCGATGTCTAGAGAATCGTGACATGATTTCCTGGTCGGAGCATATTTCATAATATACTTTTGGAAAATAGGCATTACTTACATGCAAAGTATAGAATGTGTATGTATGTAACGGAAGTACATTGCTAGGTTGAATCTCCAACCAATTGTTTCTTTAAGAAAAATGGGAAACAGTTAGAAAATAAATAAACGATTCGATTAGAAATCGTTGCCGATTTAACCGAAAATTCGTTTCGACCTAATAACGAAGACAAAGCGAAACGATTACTCGCCACGGGCGATGTTGATCTTGTGCAATTATTGTTTATTTCCTTAGTGTTCGTAGAATTACGAAACACACGGTGTGCCTTCGGTTCAATGATCTGATTTTTCTTTTTTCGTTTGTTTGACTGTAGAGCGCTGCTTCGCGCGATGACAAATCTAAACAGTTCACGCGTATCCGCCGTCCGCGAGCAGTTTCGTGCCAAATACGACACACAGTCGTCGCGAACATTTTGTTTTTAAATGACAAAACGAATGCGACAACAGACGATGTTCTCCTCGTCACTGAAACGTGGCGAAATTATTGAAAATTCACTGCTTCTAAGGGAACATATCAGTTATGTGATGTAAAATTTAAAAGAAAAAACGATCTACTGCAAATCTACCTAGAATTGATCTCTTCTTTTGTAATTCTGTATACAAAGTTTTGCACGTTTTTTCTTCGTTATGTCGACCAGAGTTTATGATGATACATGATATTCATGGTGTTCGTCTTCTTTAAGCCTAAATTATATTTTTATATAATTTGTAAGTTTTCTTTTTTTTTTTCTATTTTGTTTCAACCTTTCGTATGACTGTGACGATTGCAATTTGGTTGATTTGTGCATATTGTGAATGATCATATGCGCGAGTGTAATATATTCGGTTTTAAACGGAGCGTAGCAAAAATTTGAATTTTACAAATGTATATGCACCCTTAAAAGTATTTCGTCCGTTGATCTTTATCGATTTTGCTTTATCTATTAGTGCGTGTGAATGCCAGGAGGATCTCGGAGAGCGTTTTAGATCGAATAGATCCATTGCTCAGAATCGTTCATCGAACACGATTAATTGTTTAAAAATTAATTGATTCAATTAATCACTACTAAAAATGAAGAAAAAAAAAAATGAAAATGAAATTGACATGCTTACTTAATTTATTGCACCCCTATGCTGTTAATATTCCCTCGCTTAGGGGGTCTATAATTTTGAGCGAAGTAAAGTAGCATATAATTGGGACTAGCAGATGGAAAATTGAGGTATAATGAGAGAAATATTGTAACACATAATGAGATCGCAATGAAGAGAGAACGAAGAAACGGAAAGGGAAAGATTTTTCGTCTTTTCCGATAATGGGAAAGTATTTCTTTGTGGACCAAATTAGGAACGAGAAAAGAAAAGAAGAAGTTTTAGATTTGATTCGCAAAAAGGCAATTCACTTGTATAATATTTTTCCTTTTGTTAAGTGTATCATATGCTTTTTTCTTTTCTCGTTCGTATTATTCATTCACAAAAGAGGTCTTACTCGTAAAAAAGAAGAAGAAAAAGAATAAAAAGAAAAGCATATTTTCAGCGACTTGTACGAAGTCGGCTGATACAGAAAAAGTAATAGTATTTTCAGCGAAATCGCAGAGTCTCGTGTACGAAGCGAATATAATAATCTTCAGATGACTGAAACGAAATTATCTCAACCATTGTTATGCATAGGTGGGATCGAATTTCATTTGCCATTGAAAATTTAAAATTCCTATATTTGTCATTGCATCTTCATGTGATTATTATCAATAGATTGTGAGATTGTCTTGATGAAAATAAATCCAAACACAACCGTATTGAGACTATTTAGAATTATACGTAAATAAAAGTTTTTCAGAAACGACTTGAATAATGTATAATTAAAAATAATTCGAACGATGTAGTGTTTGGATACAATATCACTGGGAAAATTATATTAATCCATTAGTGATATGTATGAAGATATAATGGAAAATATAAAATTTTCATTTTCATTAGTGGATGATTCATCTCGGTGTTGTATCTCGACCACTTTCCTCTTTGAACGTTATGTGTCCAGTTCGATTATAGTCTAAAATTGATTAGATCGATGTCTGGAAAACTCGACCTTCATCGTACGACTGAAATACCGAGCACCCAATTTCGTGTTAGTTATCCGACGATTACTGTATAATATGAAATTAAGTCAACTACGAAACAATTTTGTCATACGAATTCATCTATGAGTTTTTGTTCGAGCGTTACCGCGTTTTGTAAGATTTTAGAGATGAACGAAGAAATAATCAGAAGAAGTAAAAGAAAAAAAAAAAAAGAAAAAAAAAAAGAAAAATAGAATTTCCTGTAGATAGGAAGGCACGTTTTGAAACAATTTTTTATGCATTTTTCGTTGCATCTGTGCATGTGTCACGGATTTCTACCCTTTTCTCTCAACCGGCGTCGAAATGCAATTGTACAAAAAGAAACAAAACAACCATCGTCATCCTTGATCTTCCCAGTACGATCGACTTTTTAGATGAAGGAGAGCGAGCGCGAGAGCGAGATCGAAAGCGAAAGCGAAAGCGGAAGAGATAGAAGGGTTTTAAAGGAAAAAAAGGCAATATTTATTTGCTATAGAAAAAAAAATTGAAAGAGACGAGTTGTTGAAATTTTAATGTCGTTGCATAAGCGATATTTCTCAATTTCCTTTTCCCTTCTCAACGAACTTCGAATGCTTAGGCAGATCGGGGACTGGTACTAAACACCAAGTAAATTCCGACGATTTTACATGGAAATGTAGATATTCGTTCAATCCTTGTAAGAAAAAAAGAGGAAACAGTTTTATAAGATGTATAAATATAAACGATTCAGCGTGACTGGATGTAATTTGTAATTTTTATATGTGGAGGGGGATACGTTATTATTTTTCATTTTTTTTTCTATTCTGTGAAAAGCTTTGCTCCCTTCCGGCCCCTTTACCTTTTCCCCCCATCTATTTTCTTTATAAGTTAAATCATTTTCAGTTTGTAAAATAATATAGTCGATTTGAATAATCGACACGGTGTACTGGCACACGACACGGACATGGCATACAGATAACGACTTAAAACAATATAGCGAGGCCCGTTTCTGTAAACGAGGGCCATAAATATTTATAATCAAGGTTGTTTTATGTATGATTGTGCGTGTAACATTGTTAATAAACTAACGATGCTTATGAAAGTTGTTTCGCGCTTTGTTACATCTCGGTTTCCTCATTGCCGTACTTCCTCTTTTTTTTTTATTGAGATGTGCGATATAATTGTATGTATTAGGAAAATGTGAATGTTTTTTTAATTTATGTAATTTCCTAATAGATGTTAAATTTTCTAAAGAGATATCAAGTACAATAAGTAATTATGTTACTTTAACGCTAAGCTTACTTACTTAACAACCTTACGAATCAAAGGTAAAAGGAAATTAGTGTACGAACGAGTATAAAATTTGTATTTGTTATTTGTGAACAAAATTTGTTCGATTTTGCTAACCAGTGCATAGTAAATCATACGAATGCTTGCAAAATAGGTTTTGTATATGTCTGGCGTGTGCAATTCTTTCCACTGCAGTTCTTATCGCGTTTATGTACCTGCAAAACCATCCACTTTTTATACTACATAAATTGAATCGGAGCTACATGTTGATAACAATATTTTACTCGAATAATCGGAGCAATTATAACCAATAAAGAACATGCATTGTATCGTGTTTTCGCGTTCGTTTAAAATCTTATTTCACCTCTTATGCAGAAAGTTACGTCGATTTATTATAGCCGGAGAAAATGATTGCCCTTGTTCACGTGACTATTAGCGGCACGCCTTACGTGTTTCTGTAACGGCAAGCGGGGTTAGATTTAACAGTGATGACAATGAGTGGATAATAAATTTCTGTAGTTAAATTGCTACCCTCAACATCGTACACTTGTATGTATATCTGTATACATATAGTGCCATTCGAAAGGGTTCTACAACTCGATAGTACGATACTCCTCGACTGTAGTTTAAGAACAATTACGCGGGAAAGAAAGAAGGTTAAACGTTTGTCTTGTTATTAAATGCAAACGTACGCGGGACACGTTATAATTTGTACGCGTAATTAGATTGTCTTTTGTTTCAGTATGCGTTACGATTCGTAATTTGATCCGTCACGACGAAAACGATACTACCATTATCGGAGCACGATTCGAGAAACGTGGCATTGTTTTCTTGGATAGAAAGTCAGTATTAACCAGGAAAACGAGACTCTTTTTCTCAGAAACTTACGATCCAGTAAGTTTTCACAATTCTAATTCAGAAATAGAATATTATTTTGATTAGATTTTTTTTCAAATTTACGAACGCATGCGTAGTTTATGTTATACTGCAAATGAACCCTTAAGAGTCGAAGCGATAGTACCGCCGCCATGCCGGTAATAGTTGCGCGCGCACTTCGAGTCACGTTTCTATCACTGGAAACGTTCAGTTGCCGCTGCGCGGCCGCGTGATTCGCAGTTTTTCAAGTTCTTCTTCGGGAAAAGTTCCTTGTTTCTGTTATGTGTCTTATATTTGATCCGCGACATAAAGTTAGTAAAAAAGTTACTAGTTTGTTAATAACAGTTCATCGAGTTCCTTCTTTAAACAATTGTTCGCATTAGTATCGATGTGGAAAGAAAGTGACTACGAAACAATTAAACGTTAAAATCGACAAGCTAAGATTTACAAGTGCACCTACACAAATTATAACGACGTTCAAGTAAGAGGAATTTTATTTTATAAACACTTTATTTTCTGCATTAAACAACGACAGTGATGGAACTGCAATTATGCTCGAGTACTAACATGTGTCACACGTTGACGGGTGCGGGAACACGAAATTTGTTTCTAGGAAGCGGAACAATAGAAAAGCGAGGGTTATGAAATAAGAATAGTGACCTTGGTGCAACCGCATTGTTAACAGATTGTTTATAGTTACTGGTTTTTTGATAACTAACCTGATGCTTCGGTAGAATGACATGTTGTGGCGTGCTCGTGTAAACACAGTACCTTCGATTTAAAGATTTTCTTTTATTGGCTTTCGATCGTGTAAAATTTTACGTGTCGAGTAATAAATGGCAACGGGTGTGACGTTTTATATTTTTAGAGACAAGTACCTGCATACACCGAAACGGTACTCTTACGTACGGAAATACACGGAAGTCGTAAATTGGTTAAAAGTTTTAGGTTAAACTTGTGAACCTGAATGGACCGATTAGTTCGCGTCAGCTGTCTGTCATAGGCAAATCGAATCCGTCTTTGTAAAATACTGTGTTTGTGTGTCGCGAAAGCAACAGTTGTCTCAAGAATATCAGTAGATATCGAAACCTGGCTAGTTGATTTAATCGGACAAAACTTTTGCAATACTTTCGTCAATTCCTTTTACGAAACTCGACAAAAATACCTTGAATTATAAATTATGAAATTTTAGACGTTTCTTGTTCCCTCTTATTTAATTGACAATCTTAAAGCGCTGGTTGCCGGTTTTCTTAGAGAGTGTTTCGAACATGTTTATCGCATTAAGTTTCCGCTTTCCTGGTGAAAACAAATTTCGCGCAGTAAAACTTTAATCGAGGCGCTACAATACGTTCCATGAGATTTCGTACGGCTTGATTGGACAATTGTTTCACAGACGCAAAGACGTAAAGACGTATTTCGAAACTTTCTTATTAACGCGAATTTCCTGTTTAGACGAATGCAGTTTCAAGCAAGGAGTCTCCATCTTTCATAAAAATCGCACTTTTCAGTTGCGTTTCACATTAAAAGTGTTTACGTAAAATGTGTCTGACCAAATTGATAATTAAATAATCTCATACGAACGTTCGTTTAATTTTAATTTTATTCAATAAATTTTGTTAAACGATCAACACTGTTTAGGAATAGTATTTGGGTGTGATATTATAAACGATTCTCGCGCTTGAACAACCATTCCTCTTTTATGTTTTGAATACAATTTAATTGTGTAAATTTCATCGTTAGAAAATCAGTAATATTTTTTTTTTTCTCAAGTTTAAAGTATTGTCTGTCGGATAACAAAAATTTCCGCTTCTGTGTAATACAGTTTTAAAACGAACCCGGAGACTTAAGTTCCTCGAGTGTTGTTTTCGAATGAAATTTTTAATTAAACGAAAAAGATGAGATAGAGAAATGAAATATGGAAAAGTAGTGAAATCGACATTGGAGAAGTACATGGACATGCTTCATGAATGAAACGTGCTATCTCTGTTTCCCGAAGAAGGCACGGTGTTTCCTTCCTATCGGGATGAATTGAACGACGTCGTCAGGAAAGTAATTGCATTCGATCAGCTAATTGCGTCGCGATAAAACGCGTAAGTTAGCTGCTCCTGTTACGAGATAGGACCTGGGCATCGTGTCCTCGGTGAGTACCACCTTGTTCCATTATTCAAATTGAATCTCTTGTGGAATTGCCACGCAAACGCCGCAGCCCTCACGCGTCGAGATCAATTATACATATGTATATCCGCGGGATCGATCAATCGTTTTGCATTTCTCGCGATACTGTATTCAGAGGTTTAGGATGAACGGGGGGAAAAACGAGAATAAATTACGGAATATGTCAATAATTTTCATGTAAACGAAAATGTGACCGGATAGTCGAGAGTCCAGTGTAGTTGTTTTTCGTATTTTCCACCCTCTAGTCACCCTTGTCGTGCAAATCATTTCGTGTATGAAAATTTGAATCCAGTCCATCCCGAGATCCATGTTCGTTGTGCTCTCATTTTGGTGATTTACCAGTGCTACGCGATCGTTTCATTACAAAATGGCCATTTATCAACTTCACGTAACCGCTGCGTCGGACCCTTGCGTCGCTGCATTTTCACGTCACACTTTACGATGCAGTTAGTTGGCCAGCTAACTACAGCGATGTCTTAACTCGATAAATTTGTCTAACGACTAGGACTCTCGAGTGCCTGCACCTCCTGATATCCTTTAGATTTTATTGGCTATGAATAGGGACGTGAGCAACGAGTCCGTGGCAAAGTCGTTATCGAAGTTTATCGGTTATACCGTGAAAACGATGCTTTGCATTCACCACCGATCAAATAAATATCGATTATCGTTTAGTTATCAGCGTTTTTTAATCGTCTCGTTCGGCAAAACTACGCAGCTATTACAATTCTTTTAATTTCGATCGCGATTCGAAAAGTATTATTATAACATTTCATTCTATTCTACGATTTACGAAGCTTCGTACTAGATTACTCGAGTAAATAGAAGCAGTAAGGCTGAAATTTCATGAACAGTTTTATCGCTCAATGGTAACGAAGTTACAGACTTTATCGTAATGCAGTCTGGTGTACATATACTTGCAATATCATACAACGCCATTAAATATCTTCGTGGTAATAACGGGCACCCACACCTATCTTCATAAATCGAACACATAACTCTGCGTTCGATTTTATGATCGATGCTTTATTTTCACGGTGCTGCGCCGCGTGTAGGTATTTATGTACGAAAGCATCGAGGTGTTCTTTAGTACAACAAAAATCCCAGAGAGAATCAAGGGTAAGAATATGCGCATCGCGTGTAAAAATGAATCTACTATTTTTCGGAGCTTTTATTAACAGTAGATTTATTTTCCGAGTAAATTCGAGTATAAGGACACAAATAAAATTGTAACTTTCTGTCCCGGAGTGTAAAATTTTTAAATAATTCCGACTTAAATCTTGTATAGTCTATAGCAGCGGTTACCTTTAAGTTGTATAATTATTTGCATCTGTGAATACGTAGAAATTGTCCGAGCAAAAGGTTAAGCGTCTCGCATATTAGATTTTGATATTTTATTCGAACCGTTTTACTTAATATGCACTTACACGTAGCTTGTATACTTATGCTCCTGTGCAGGGTTCAGTGAATTCAAAATGGGTTATTCAGATTATAGACAAGAGTTACCTCTGTATCGTTCTTAGATCTGAACTTTGTTGCATGTGCCTCTTTATCATTAAACTGTAGCTTTGTATTTTAGAGATTTTAGCAATGAAAAATTACCGAATAAAGAATTTCGTGAGTAATTGAACGTTCGTATAGAAATGTTTTTTTCTTCCGCAAATAATTCTTGTCTTGGCTAAAAGATTGTACATATAGAAGTAATTACAAAAAATAATTTCATTCGAAAGGAGACAACGTTAGATCTGTAGTGAGTAGATTGCGACGTTAATGAGCAGCCACGTAGAACTGAATTACAAACTGTACAATATAGCGTATATGTATGTTTGTACGTGTCTTTAAATGAAATTAATGTTTTATACCGAAGATTATACAAAGTAATATCAAAGTCTTACAATGAAATTTCATACGAGATAGAATTATTAACTTAAGTAACGATTCAGATTAATCTTGAAAGACCAAGTTCATTTTTCCAAGTGCCAACCGATCGTTGTGATATATGTAGTATACTTTATATTCTATTGTAAACGATTATGGTTTGAAGAGTGTGTGTATAAAACCTGATGACCAAACACTCGGTTTCTTTCATACTCTTTTAATCCATATCCATAATCAATTAAGCTTTGATTAAATTTCAATTATTTACCGATTGTCAAGTGAATTTTAGTTAATCTCCAATCAAATTTTTGTTCTCGATACGTGATTGGGGTTCCGGTTGAGTTTGCGTCCGGACACCACAGAA